AATAAAAAAACAAAAAAAAAAAAAAAATACAAAAAGACGGTAGTGAGTTATACCACCGGGGACAGTGTTCGCCTAAGACATGCCGAATGTCCCGAGATCGCTAAGGCCAACTAATAAACATAGCTTCATACTAAATTCCTCTCCTGAGCACGTCCGCTAAAGTCTCAAATTTAGCCGTCGGAATCCGATGCAACTTGTCATCTTTCCTTGGTCTGTTCTAATTTCCCCTACTACGACAACTCGCACATCGATATTGCTAGCATGTTGCAATCTATTGGGGGAATGATCCTGCATGGTGTGATCTAGACAGAGTCAACTATATGGGAATAGAACATGGAGCAGAAAATGATAAATACCCCATCGGCGCCTTGAATATTCTCCATCATCCCAATCACAACAGCTCTCTGGTCTCTACAGTTCCTTCAGACTTCCACATTCAAACAACAACCCGTCATCATTCAAGATGAAGTTCACTACTGCTATTGCTACTGCAATCCTTGCTGGCACCGCACTCGCTGCCCCTGAACGCGGCCTCGCAGCTCGTGTCAAAGCTCGTGCAGCTGCCGCTCGGGGTTCTCGCCCTCTCCAGACTGTTCAGGAGCCAGCAGGCGTGACCAACAAGACAAATGTTCAGTACAGTTCCAACTGGTCTGGCGCTGTTCAGGAGAACCCTCCCTCCGCCGCAGCCACCTACACCGCAGTTACTGGTACCTTCACGGTCCCTGAGCCCACTGGTGGATCCGGTAGTTCTTCCGCCTCGGCGTGGGTTGGTATCGATGGTGACACCTACAGCGAGGCTATCCTCCAGACTGGGGTCGACTTTACTGTGACGGATGGCCAGGCCTCCTTCGATGCTTGGTACGAATGGCTGCCCGACTATGCTCATGACTTCACCGGCATCGACATCTCAGCAGGCGATGTGATTGTTGCTATCGTCGAGTCGCACTCCTCTACCAGTGGAGTTGCCATTATCGAGAATCAAAGCACTGGCCAGAAGGTCTCTAAAGAACTTAGTTCCTCTTCACCCCTCGGCGGGATCAATGCTGAGTGGATCGTCGAAGGTGAGCCTTTCATGCTCTGGATACAATTTTTTTTCAGGGACTCTGCATGACCAGCTAACGAACAATTTTAGACTTCGAGCAAGGTGGCTCCCTGGTTGACCTGGTTGACTTTGGCACCGTTACCTTCACTGGTGCCGAAGCAAAGGCTGCCGGTGGCCAGACTGTTGGCCTGACCGGTGCCACTGTCATTGACATCGTCCAGGGCAGTAAGGTTGTGACCGATGTGACCATTGACAGCGACTCCGAGGTTACTATTCGCTACGTCTAAGCTAGTCAGATAAAGTTGCCTCTGAGAGCTTGTGAGCTGTTGTTGTGGAGTCATAGCGTGACTTTCACATTGAATTGGTTGGAGTTTGGTTGAGGAACAGAGATAAGAAAGGTGACACTGCGAGGCAGAAATGCAGGCGGGATTGGCTATTATACTTGGGTATTCCTGACTTTGAGTTACATAGTGTGTCGAGGATTTGGTAGATGTCTCATAATGAAAGATCATGATCCTCCCTATACCCTTCGCCGTAGATCCCTCTGTTCTGTTACTGGAACAGAAGCACGACTGTAGAAGCGTATCTTCAAACTTTATCACTAACAGGGCTGAAAAGGAATAACGTCCCCCTTCGGATGAGAGTGGGTTACTGAAGCGTTGTCGGGATCGCTTCATTACCAGTTACTGCCATTCGCATCTTGAGGGCTCCTAATCATGTTTGTAACCCTAACTATTACGATTGATGCTGTTTATGTACTGATTCCCTCGTTCCCTACAATCTCTCTTTTGTAAAACTTACTGGTAGAGCTCAGAATGATCGGCATCAATTAATTAGAGAATACGAGCTCCCAAGGTTTCGCAGGCATGATGACTAACCTCAGGCACCAACCCCTGTTGCCTACGAGGATCTCCCAATTTGAGAGCAAAAATCACCACACCCAACTTGAGCGATCTCAATCAAAGATAGAATCTAAACTCTCCATAGTCCCCCCAGAATAATTATTTTGCCAGCCAGCCAACGCCATGGGACAGGACCGGGTCATACTTCCCGGCTTCGGCCAGCCCCTGAATGATAATTTACCGACAATCGAAAAGGAGGAGGGCCCGTACAAAGGTCAACGTCGACGATTCCCTCATGCATTGCGCGACAGCTGCTATAGTGTGGGCGTCTCTGTGAGGGAGCGTCGAATGTTGGATTTTATCAATAAGATCACTGATAAGCCAGAGTGGGAGAGGAAGGTCTTCGATGAAGACATTGTGAGCAAATGGAGGAGTGAAGCGTGTGAACACAGCGAAGAGCTCGATGATTACTATCTATCTGCTGCCATGTTTGACTATGTGGGTTCTGCTTAGTCGCTGTCCCTGGGCTAGAATGCCTCTCTAATAATATATATAGTGTCTGGAAGAACTTCGCGACAAAGCCGCTCACTTCAAGGACTCTCAGATGGTGTCTGTGTATGACAGTGAGACTGCAATCGTGAAGTCCGATACGGCAGTTTCATCAATATTGGCTGAGTCGCTACGCAGCAATGTGCGTGTCTTGGAGGACGTCCCGGATCATTTGAAAGATTGGCATCCCGGGTCAGATCAAAAGGTGTTGGATCTGCTTCACCCGTCGCTGTTTCCTTTGATTCACGGACGGTCACGCGCGTTACCTTATGGAACTGTGCCGCTCGATGACTGTGCCCGCTTAACTGGAGAGGGCGAGGTGGTTGTCCCCGAATTTGATGGGTACCATATAGTCCAGCGCGAGGACATCTCACTGCCGGAGTGGGGACACTTCCAATGGCTCCCATCCAATGTTGAATTTGACAAAGATGGTACCCCAAAGATTGTCAGTTATATCAACAACCTGCACCATAGGCAGCACAAGGAGCTCTATGGAACCCTAGAGCATTTTGTAGCAGCTGCAATCCCCCTGTGGAATGAGTGTCTTTCCTGGGATCACACTCGGCTGAGGATCGAATTCCGGGGAGGATCAGACCGGGACTTTTATATTCCTGATGGAGTTACTTTCACTCCAGATGAGGATGATGTAGATTCACCCGAGAAGGTCCGACCCTACACGTTCCAAGAAGCCTATGAAGATGAAGATATCAGTGCGACTTATGCATATGAGAAATGGGTCCGGAAAACCCGAGTTTTCGCTGAGAGAGAGCCTGAGCCATTCCAGTCTCGCCGGCAATGGGAAGAGAATGTCGGACACCGCGCCGTCGATCTGCAAGCGCAGTTTGCTACGTGTGGGATGCAGGTTATCTTCAAGCTCGCGAATATTCATCTCACCCCGGAAGAGCCAGAGTACGACGGCGGGACGTGGCACATTGAAGGGGCGATGAACGAACATATTGTCGCCACGGCTCTATATTATTATGACGAGGAAAATATTACACCTAGTCATCTCGAGTTTCGGCAGGCTATGGACGCGGAGGATTTCACGTATCGCCTTCCTCAGGTACGTGACTAATCTCTATGACACATATTGAACTATAAAATTGATAGAATCTCGTACAGAATGAGTACGCATCTACAGAAATCTTCTACGGAATTGAAAACGAGGAGGCTGCAGTACAAATGCTGGGTAGTGTTCTGACCAAACCCGGTCGACTACTCGCTTTTCCAAATGTCCTACAGCATCGGGTTCAGTCATTCAAACTGGCCGATGCCACAAAGCCCGGTCATCGGAAGATTCTCGCTATGTTCTTGGTGGATCCGTATATACGAATACTCTCCACGGCAAATGTGCCTCCCCAGAGAAAGGATTGGTGGACAGAAGAAGTTCGAAAGGTTCCCCGTTTTCGAAGCTTGCCTTTGGAACTGTTTAATATGATTACCGACGAAGTCAGTGACTTTCCGCTTGGCTGGGAGGAGGCGGTAGAAGTGAGACAGGCCCTCATGGATGAGCGAGGAGCACTAATTGACCACACCAATGATGAGATCGAAGAGGTATGCCACTATAGAAATTGACCTTTTTCAAGTCTACTTGGAAGCTAACTGGCTTTAGTCAACTTTCAGCTTTTGTGAACATTAAACTGGTTGTGCGCTTTTAGAGCGATCCGCTTTTGGACTCATCCCTTATCAGGTCATATGCAATGTCGATATTATACCACAAAAGTTAATTCAGGTAGATAGCCAACGGGGAGGTGGCTTGTTGAATTACTGGTAAAATTCTTACGCGATTTGACGAAATACATGGAATTTTTGGCCTCTTTCATCGGCAATAGAGAGCCCCCGGGGACGAATGAATTCTTCTCTATCATTCACTATAGAAAATACTAGTCATTGGCCTACGTTGTCTGATTCCATGGGAAAAGCTGATAAAAGAAACAACACGGAGGTGAGGTTCATACAATAGGGTTCACGACGACAAAAAGCGCTATGCATGATCGATAGGAGATGGGCCAGCACCAATGGGATAGGTGAAGATGTAGTTGGGCCCATCGGCCATTAAGCCATCACCGCCGGGACGCATCTGAGAGGCAGGCAGCCAGAGCTTCTTGTCCGCTGTCACCCACATCAAGTCCGTCCAGAGGAGAGCGTCATCTTGAACGAGAATGCTGGCACGGCCCTCAGGGGTGACCTTCCAGATGGCGAGGAGGCTGGTGTCGCTGACGTAGATGTTGCCATGGCCATCGATGGTGGTTCCTCCAGTGCTCGGCGTCAGAGCAAATGGCTCAGCGTAGTCCCCAAGTGAGGCAGCCATTGTTGTGTTAGTCAGTGTGGCATCAACATATGTGGTCTTGACTCGGTACAGACCACCATTACAAGGCTGATAATACATGTAAACTCCATCCGGCGATACTTCAATTTGGTCCAGACCAACAGCAAGAGTACTGCCATCGCCACCGTATCCGGGCACCAGTGTCCCGTTGTACATCATCGGATACCAGGCGGAGGCTGAGTCGTCATCTGAAAGGACTCGCACACCGTTTCCAGTTGTCATGTTCAAAACCAATAGGGCGCCGGCTGTATCACTCAAGTAGGCAACGTCTCCAGCTGCATTAAAACGGACATCATCAATACCGCTGTCGTCTGCCTTGATATCGTCCAGGTAGTAGATCTTGTCGACAGCATCAGTGGTGAGATTAACACCCACTAGTTTGGTTGAGCCATTGATGCCTTGCGAACCGCCATCGACCAACCAGTACCGCCCGTCGGGTCCAATTCGCGCGCCGTCAATACTAACGAAGGTCTCCCGTGGGTTTGAACTCGAATCGCTTGCGTTGTACGAATTCCATGCAGCATTCGGGTAGAGAACTGTTGTATTGTCGCTTAGAAGCTCCACTGCCTGGGGTGGCTCCGTTGTAGAGTATCGCTGCGACAGAAATTTGCGCCCGTTGGCTGAGATGCTGATGCCCTGGGTCGCCCGTTCAAGTGAGTAGACCAGCTCAAGACCAGGTGCGTATGCAGCTACTAGCGGAGCTGTGATGCTCAGAAGGGAGGTAAAAAAAAGACCAGACATGGCAGGAATGACAAATGCTAATGTGTTTCCGTGTCCCAGATATGGCTTGGAAGACCGGAACAGGGTATTGGTATTTATACAAATATCCTCCGTTCCTGATTCCTGGTCACCGACATCCGTAACAAGTAATTGTCGCAAGACGCGGCTTGTTTCTGACGGAGATCTGACGACGATGGCTCATCTTTCTTGACTCCCGGGTATAGAGATCCACGATAAGCTTTGCGTACGAAGGATTCTCGGGTTCTCCACATTTGCCTCATCTAAACAGTTATTAAAGTATTGATGCCGCAAGCTAAGGCAGGAACCCATTGTCTATTACGCAATACGTCCAATGCCAAGGTTATTCTCGGGCATATGGTCCATGATAAGTATTTAACGTGCTTGCTGATCTTCGTGATCTGCTACAGGCCTCGGCGTTTAGGGTCCACCGTACGGGCGAGATTAACGAAACAGGACTAGCCTCCGCTACACGTTTGATATCCGTAGGAGGAGAGTGCGTGTGAAGATCAATCTACGCTATTTGGCTGCCAGAGCGCATCTGGTTCATCCCTGGGGCCAGAAGACAAAAGCGTGCATGCTCCTGTCTATCTGTGTGTATGCTATAGGGTTTTGGAACTGCACTCAACCGTAGTGGCGTGATTAACATCTCGTTATGCTATCAGTAGCCCTATACAAATCTCTATGAAACTGCCGGTGTTCTGCTATTCATTTCCCAAGTATGACGTGTACATTATTGTCGGTATTTGTCTTTCCTCTAGAAGATTTCTGGATGGTAGACCTGTTCTGATCCGTTGACGAGAAGGGTTAAAGGCCGACAATCGGAGGAAAGTCAATCAAATAACTGATTCGCCGAATTAATCTTCTCATCGGTATTTCGCTCGAAATTCGGGGTGCCCAAGTCCGCCCACCACTTGAATAGCAATGACTCGCATATTAATTTGAACTATGGAGTGTATTGCAGACCTGGCATGGCGGACATATTTCTGAGGTCCTCAGGTGACACCCAGCGAAAATCTTGCACCCCGTTTCGATGACTGCAAGGTCTGCATCTGCTTGAATGAAGAGAATATAGTCCACTATACGATATCAGTAAACATTTAGTATGCCGAAGTATATTGAACCAAAGCCCTAGTTTTGGTGAACGACTTAAGAATAGACATTGCAGTTTCAATGTAAAACAATGCTCTCGGCGATTAGAGCATCTATCCTCTTCAGTTCCCGTACAACTACAACAGTATATGTCTATACAAAGATGTCGACAAGCGCCAACAACTCACTTCAACTCAACACTACTCGCACACATGAGTTGGTTGTCAGCCCTCCGACCTTACAAGTGGTATATCCTCCAACGCAGAAATTTAAAAATTCCCTCGAGCCCTCGCAACATCCTGCATGATAGCATTCATGGAATTTGCCACTGCTCGAGTTCTTCAACCGTTGCTCAGCCGGAAATAGCGCGCTTGGAAAACGGCACGAAGAAGAGGGGGCCATCTCAGTGATGAAAGCTATTAGAAGGATTATGTGACTTGTTGTTTGTAGTCAAATCTCTCTCGTGGGATGGTACACATCGGCATATGTGGTGTTTCGTGAGCGGTATTTAACTGTGGCTCCGCCGGACATCACCACAACTGTGATAGATCCAACATGCCGTCCTAAAGGAGGTTTATAATACAAATCTTGAAACTACTAAAAGAAGGCAACATGATGCCTGGTGTGCTATCACATTCGAAGAAGATAGTGATGACTGGGCCAAAGGCTCTGTACAGAGATTTCTCGTAATGGGATGAGAATGTCCACAAAGACGAGGTTTCTGTGTACGCTAGGCGCATAGACTGTTTCTCCAGGCTTCCTGTAAGCACCTATGAATGGTTGATAACATTTTCTCCAGTTGCAGTCGCAAGGTCAGTCGGACTGCTCAAGTAGTGGATCCACGGACCCTCTGGAATATGTCTAATGTGTGATCCCATAGCTTTGCCAGGTACTCCCTGTCGCGATAGTTCCTCATCAACGTCTGGTTCGTCACATCCTTTCCGTCATAATTAAGCAGATACGAGCCACCACCAGTTTTACCTGTCGATGCTACTGCGACCCCTACACCATCAGCTGACATTTCTCTAGCGCGAGTTGCCGGTGGATAAGCAGTGGACGTGGCAATGAAGACATTGCGCTCCCCGCTCTCCTTCTCCGATATCGACATCAGCTTGGTCACAAGGCCAAGCATCGACCCTAGTATGTATCCAAAGCTAGACTTCATCAAAGGCGTTTGTACAACTCCGGGAAATATGTGAATGAAAGTGACAGAAGGGTGTTTGGCTGCCAGATATTCCATCGCCAATGAGTTCATGGTCGCCCCGTACGTCGCCGCAGTGCCAAAGGAAAAGGATACCTGAAGATCAAAGTTGCTTTCGTCGATTTCGCCCTCTCTCCCTGCTGCTAGCACACTGACTACTCTGGCAGGAAACTCAGCAGCTTCTAGTTGAGGGAGGAGGTTGTAGATGAATCGCATTCGGGCATAGTAGCGGAGCACGTGGTTGTTGTCGAGCCCTTCCACTGTATCTGTAACACATCAGCCGTGGTTTATTATGGAAGTGTGTAGGACGATGGACTATTGTCTTCTTACCATTTTTTCGCGCCGCTAAGTGGCCCGGTGTCATGAATAACAAGTCCACTCTGCGCTCTTTGCTTTTGATCTCGTGGCAGGTGGCATCAACTTCCCGGAGGAGTGATACATCTGACTTAATGAATTCGAATGTTCCATAGGGGTTCAACGTATTAAGCTCTTTTATTATCCGCGAACCGGCTGATCCGTTGCGACCGACGAGGTAGATCGTGGGAGACTCAATTGTCTTCGCTAACTGTTTCGCTGTTGCTTCGCCAATACCACTGGTGCCACCTACGAATACTGCCACAAGCTTCGAGCGTCGCCCGCTCACGGACTTATTCACTTGACGCGCTCGTTGTAGACTGACCATGATGCCGTTAAGGAGGTGTCATGAACCAATACAGTCAGAAAGAATACCAAGGGGGCGGATGGGTAGAGACCTAAATGAAGAAAGGGATAACAGGCGCCACGCGACGCCCCACCAACAAGGCATCAACACAGGGATGAATAAACACTGTGAATATAAACAGCCCTTGACGCATATCGACCAATCTGCGCAATGACCCACTTGCAGAGAATCTCTGAAACAAGGCGTGCTTGGTTGCAGATCCATACTAGAGGCCGTTTGTATCTCATGTCCTCTGGTTAACATGACATGCGGGCGCATCAAGGGAGCCCTTCATTAGCCCCTTGCTTCTCTATCATGGGAATAAATTGACCGCCTGGCAAAGGCTTGTCTGACGCGAAGAATCTCACTGTAAATCACTTCAAGACACTAGGTCCCGATTGTAACACTTGCAGATCGGATTCCCTTGGCATTATTGTCCAACATAGCCGGTGTCAGTGTGTATGTTCTAGCTTCTACCAAGGAGATACACCTTCATAGGTGAGAGATGTAAACCGTGTTGTCCAATTGATGCCCAATTCCAAGAGGGTTTTTCCAGTTTCCTTTGGTAAACCTCGTCCATCACGTTTTTAATTCTCCGTGCTGGACTGGTGCGTTCTCTGTCAGCAACGAGTTGGGGATCCGCCCGCCACATCAGACTTAATACGGAAACATCTTCTAGTAGTAACCTACAATATAAACATCATTCACTGCATTTCCTAGCTAGTTGGGAATTTGTGATAGCCTAGCGGATCTTTTGATCTCTGAATGAGACAGTTGGTAATCACTGTACTCTTCACGATATACCACCAAAGTTTTTTGAGCTCCTTTAGATCAGTAGTTCGCGGTATAACCGTTTGCCTAAGGTTAATCCGGAAAGGAGCCGAAATCTTGCTCTCCACTGGCGAGATAAACAGGACTATCGATTCATCTAGCTCAAGCCGGAGTTCGAGGTAGGAACTTGGCAGGGTATTTTTCGGGCATATGTCATGACAGTCTAAGCACTCATCCAACCAGCGTCTACCGGATGCGATCGCTCCTTTGAATTGAGGGGACGAACTCCTGTTGCAGATTGTTGAGTTCAACGTAATATTTGAGCTTGGTATGGTTAGCATAGGGTAGCAGACAAGCCTCTGATTATTTTCTTCAACTTCCACAATATCTCCAAGCGGCCAATCGATGTCAAGGCATATCTGTGCTTGTTTATCGTCTCGGTAATATGATAACCTCAAAATTACTTAAATAAATCTGTCGTCTTCCCACATTATTCTCTAATGTACTGCAAAGGATGAGAGGTTGGAAACCCTTTCACACTGTTGAGTGATTTGATGTCTGCGTGTTGTCGACTCTCTGAGTCCCTGACTCTAGGCTTCTGAATAACTGTTGAAATTTGGTGCAGACCATTCCGGAGGTCAATATAAGAATAGGTGATTGGCTATAGTAGCAGTTGATTACCGTGTAGAAAAGCCTCCCGATCTCAGGAATTTACACGTATCAGACCGGGCAGGTCTGACGATCTTTTTAACACTAATACGTCGCTAAGCCATGGTGTCACCCGAATAGTTAGGTACATTTGGCAGGATTCTTATTTGGATAAATGCTGTGACTGTGCTGGCATTGTATCTGTTTCCAGTTACAGTAGGACCTCATATATCATTGTTGCTAAGGATCGATCGGCATTAAAATCCCTACACTGGCCATCCCGTCGGTCTCTAGTTGACTGAATGAATAAACGACATCTAACTCGACTCTAATTAACAGGTCTTATCAGTGATGGCCCAAAAGACTCCAGATCAAATACTCTCCACACAGTGATACCGATCGCTTTCATTCTCAAGAGACGGTATGTGTAGACGAGACTATAGTAGATGGTTGCTGTATAATCATATCGTCAGTCTGTGTCAGCTTAATGGATACCATTCATACATCATGAACTATAAGTCAGGAGAGCTACGTAATTGACTCCGATCATCAAAGGTATGGCACCAGTAGCTTGATTCTTCTCTTTGAATATGTGTCAAATTATTGGTACCGGGATCTTCCCTTATTGAATTGAAAAGCTGATAGGTGTGCTACCTATACATGCAACTAAGCAGCATTAACTGCTATCAGGATAGCTAGTGAGTAAACTGATTTTTGTGTTTTCATCTTATGGATTGATGATCATTTCTAATTTACTTCTTATAGTTGGCCTAGACCTTTGGAAGAAAAGTTTCAGCTGTGCGCAATTTAGTTTTGTATGGTGATCTACGCCTAATCCTGAAGAATGCATGCAACCACAGCCATGTGAGGTCTACCTTTCCTATTTAGCGGTCTACACGGCCTACGTAATGCCCATGTAATACATGATCTACGTAGGTAAAGAGGCCGAACCCTGATCGGCTAGTGGGTCCCTTGGAAGATCGTTTCCTAGTCAGAACTAGGATTCCGGAGATCAGAGATCAACATCTGTCGACTATTTGGTAAGATCGATAATACATCGATAGTTCTGAGTGATAGGCACTTTATTGAATACTTCCTTTTTTGTGCATATCCAATTCTATATATTTTTTTTTGTAGGTCGGTATATTTAAGGGCCGCCGTTCGTGCCATCTATTGCTGTATATCCAAAACAATCTCCATCCGATATTATTTTCACTCCCACAAAATGCGCCTCCAAATTTCGTTTCTATCTCTTTTATGGCTCTTTCTGCTGGTCGATTTCGGCCACGCATTCGTCGGTCCATCATGTACAAAGATGAAGGAGGCCCTTGGAAATAAACCTGACATCATCTTCAAGGAATTCAAGACTGAAGTCTGCGACAAGGGGTGCAAGCCAGTCATTGCCCATTACGATAAGTGGGCAAAGACTAAAGCAATCCATCCGCTTATTGAGAAGGTTATGAAGGATATGGGCATACCACAGCACGCTAAAGTCATTAAAGGATTAGCGGCGGACGTTGCGAAAGTGATTAAGCAAGATTGTGGGAAAATACTGGGCAAGGGCCACCTCTGCCAGAATCCAGAGACTCTCGCGAGATTTGGCAATTGCCTCAAAGGCAATCTCATGCCAGTTGTAATGGGTAAGATTGGCAGCTTAATGCCATTAGTGACGGAACCAATGTGCGCCAAAGAGCTAGCATACCTTGAGAAGGATGATTTGTGGGAAAAGGTCATACCGAAATACCTTAACATGTATTCGAAGGTGTGCAAGAAGCTATAAGATATTGTGAGTACCCAAGTGAAATTTGCTCTGGTTGCTGCAGCGCTGCTGGATTAACAAACTAACGTGATATAGGGTGGAGTGTAGGTTGAAGAAATGTAATTATATGTTCATGTCCGGCTGGGAATATTCGGGAGTCGTACTGGGTCAAGACAGTGTTTGCCAGGAACTATTTTGTATCGTTTAATCTATCAAATCAGACTTTCACTCCATCCGAGCCTCATGTTCTGTTTTCCAGGTCGTTGGCATTCCTTAGGAGTCTACCCGCTTAACATTACATTTTACCACGAGACTATGGGGTAAAATCGATCCTAGCACGAGGCATACTTTATTCTTTGTTGACTATATGTGTAACGTGCCTTGCCTACACAAATAAGAAGCAGCCAACCATGGCCATTAAGCCCTCCACGTCACTTCACCCATTAGCCTTAGCACTGCATTCTACCATATCTAACACAGAGTGTTATTGGTAGTTTATTTCAACTGTCGAGCTCATTTCAATGGACTCAATGTTCCGCTGTAATTGAGGGGAACAAAATGGAAAAAGAAAAGAAAGAAGAAAAGGTGGAATGAGTATAGATACTATGTATAGTTCAAAAAGAGAAAGAGAAGTAGATAATAGAATATCTATAAATAATGGACTGTGAGACTCCTATAAATCCAGTAAGAGTAAATTGAGAAGAGCGCGAAAGAGGAATGCACTAATGGAAATATATAATGGACCCGACACCCGGCGATCTCGAGACCCAAGCCAATGGCTTAAAAGAACTATAAATAATAGTGATTGCTAGTCTCACCATGTAATAATGCTTAACATATCGGTACTTGCTACAATAATAGTATAGTTATATAGAAGCCAGCAAAGGAATAAGGATTCATACAACCTCTTTTGGCAGTTCAATGGTCTTTCCCCTTTCCTCGCTTGGAAATCTGCCTGAAGGGATAGCCAGCTCGGGATAGCACTTAACAAACAATCTAGAACAATTACCAAACAAAGTCCGGTTGGTACTCACTTCCCGTGCTACGTAAGTTTGCATTTAGCAAGTTGGGCAGGATTGCGAGCTTGATACTTTACTTCAATCTTAATTGCGACAAGAGGAGACTCGAATAACATTAACCTCTAGTGGCGAAGTACTCGGAGATTAATAAGGGTGTCGACTGGCATGCTTTTATGTACTGTATGAACCACCCCTGCATAATTAGGGTAAAATAGCTGCCAGGTGGTCCACCCCACAGTTTTCATGACCTGACTTTTGCTTGATGAGTATGATGATTGGTCCATAAGAACCATATTTAAGTTTAGACTAATCTTAATTTGTCTGAAGTAATTCTTGGCTGCTCAGTCTGCTTTTTGTGGTCTCGCAATGAGGCGAGGACGCCTCCTTGCCAGGCCTGAGTCAGTACTCATCCCCGGATCAAAGGTCCGTGAATTCGCAGCCTCGGGGGCCAGTTGGAAGGAGGATGGAAATGTGGTAAGCACCATCCAACTTTCAAACCCCATGACATGGTGTATGAAATTTCATGATGCCCATCATATTATGGGCCCAATACCCACCCAGGGCAAGATAATAATCGACCCTCGGTTGGCCCGGAATTTAATCTCAGTTCGGGAAAACCCGCCCAAGGCCCGCTAACCGCTTTCGATGCAAATTGCGCGACTCACGAGCCCTGGGGACGCTAAACATGCAGCTCGGCTCCCCAAGGCGCAATCAGAACCCTGATCGACCACTTCCGCGAAGTGTGTTTTCAAATGCAAATACGAGAAGGCTCGATTAGCGGGAGTAGCCTTACCGGCCCTTGCAATGATTGGGCTGCAGAGCTTTAGATAACACTCCGAATTCCCACAAGCTGGAGCTCTGCAGTTTGCGTTTCCATCTCCCCCGTGGGCAGTTGATGTCCATACTTACCATGTCTTCTGCAAATGTTGTCTACACCGGGGTCTGGACCAACTGGTCCCATGGCCAGATTCGCGGTGCCACTCTCACCCTACCCCAGGAATACGCTGGACTGTTGACGGCTTTCCTGGCCATCTTTGTGTCCTTTGCGGGAACAATGATGTGGCGGATTCTCTGCTTTATCATACACCAGGCCAACACAACCCCCACTTCGGGTAAACGAGATTTCCTACATCACAGTCGCCAAGTGATCCTTCGAAATAGCGGGTCAGGAACGGCAGCAGCATGGGCATTCACAACGCTGGCCTGGAACGCCGGTAGAAAAGCACCTCGAGGCCTACTCCGGATTCTTCCCCTAGCGCTCCTAGCACTCCTCAACGTAGCATTGTTTGGAGTCTCAGGTGTCTTCACCTCGTATGTGACCAAAGTCCCGGGAAACACAACAATCATTCTAGGTCCCCACTGCGGTGGAGCTGAATCAAGCGCAGCAGTGGATACAGGTGGAATCTACTTGTCCAAGATGTTGGAAGATACAAAGCAGGCGGCAGCCTATGCGAAGCAATGTTACCACGGCAGTTCATCGTTAGCCTGCGGCACTTACGTTCGCCAAAGCTTACCTTTCACGACCCAGCAAAATGTTTCCTGCCCGTTCGCAAAGGGCCTGTGCAGGTTCAATGACCAGTCTGCTTTTGCAATGGACACGGGCTTGCTGGATTCACATAATGATTTTGGGATCAACGCCCCGCCCGAAAACCGAATCAAATTTCGACGACTCACTACTTGTTCTCCGATCTATGGCGCCGATTTTGGTACTGATAGGGATGAGCCTGGCTTGGGTACAGTTGTTTATGTCAACGCGGGTCTCACGCCGCAGCTGGTTGAGGTTGGCAATAACTGGACGTTCTCCTATGTTGTCCGCTCCGCTTTTGACAGGATGCATGCGTACTCGCTGAGGTAGGGAGGCTTTATTACCGAGGACTCTGAAATCGTTATTTTCAATCTAACAAAGGATATAGTTCTGTTTATGGACAAGCCGACCCGACTGGCGTTCTCCACAGTACTGGAAATATGTGGTATCCCGACCCAAAATTGAACCAAACTGACTCAGATATCACCCTAATGATGCTCACGCAAAATGATGTTTATTATCGAACGCCAAGTGACGATCCTTGGATAGCAGCTCACGAAAAGCTTAACGGAAGCGATGTATATACGGGGGACTACACTATCAGCTTGCTGGGGTGCATCGACCAATATCAATTCTGCAACCCCAACAGCGAGGGCGATACGGCATGCAGCAAATTGGGAGGCATAAACTCAGTTGCCCAAGACATGATTGATCGATTCGTTTATTTCAATGGGGACCAACTCGCGACCATGGAGCGGTTCATGACAATGTCGCACCTACATTCTATGTATCAAGCGGTTCAAGGGCGGGGAGGTTCAGCACTAGACAGTAAGTTCCCAGAATCCCTCTACGTATTCCGCACCGCCCAAACCGTAAAAGCAAAGCTAACCCAGTCATCCCGTAGTCGGCCAAAAACTGTACAACGGACACCAGTATTCCGTACCCCCTAACCAATGGCAAATCGAAGTCACCAACTGGTTTGCCCTTTCCCTTGCCAAGGAGCAAGCATGGGCCGTCGAATGGGCGACCGAACCCCAGAACTTCGACTCCCCTAAAGAAGGCGAGGATTCCCCATGGCAGTATAGCCCACCCACTACGCCCGAGGCCAAATCCCAATGTAGAAACCAACTCGTACACAACTCGGGAGACTACAAGAGCTTATCGGTCTTGGGAATGAGCCTGATCCTTGCCCTCGGGGGTATTATAATCATTCTTGGCTTGTTCTTGGATACCTGTGTGGGGTTGTTACAGCGTGGGAAACGGGCGTATTTGCGAGAGCAGTGGCAAACCGAGGAGACATTGGGATTGCATGGGGCTGCGTATCGGGCTTTGGGGGTGTCGACGAATTGGGCCGATGAAGTGCCACCGAGCTCGATGTTTCAGGGTCTTAACTCTGCCGCTGATGGCTATCGTTCTGTCCCCTTGGAAGGAGCCGATGTTGAGGGGAAGTCTGACGGTGGCATAACTGTGTCAGAGCGATATAGATCACATCGCGATACAGTGGCTTAGGTGTCCTGAAATTGGTATCGTTTGTCCTGAGGGTATTTACCTAGTTTTATTTTTAATATTGTTCATATTGGAGGGTGTGCTTCGTTTATATATCAACCCTGGAGCACGGGATTTCCCGATTACTGATGAATTGTCCTATGTATCGATAATAATAATATACTCTGCAATGAACTACCTGTCTGCTTGACTGCACTTCTGTTGGTTTCGCCGAAGAACAGTACGCTAATAAGAGGAGGAGTGTAAATTATCTGGCGGACGGCAACGACAACAAGTGCAGTAAATGTTCATACTGAAATTAAGTAGCAAAAAGCACCGCCATAGTGAGGATAAAAAAGGAAAGAGAAAAAGATATGACCAGACAGGGGTTCGAACCCTGGGCCTTATCCGTGTAAAGGATACGTGATAACCAACTACACCATCCGGCCGATATCGGTGATGGTAGTGGTTGTAAAATGTCTCAATGCCGACAAATGGCTCCTGCTATACACTACCAACACCTCTACAATGAAGACCTAGTATACCACAGCCTTCATCTGAACACCTTGCAGTCCGATAACCCCATCTCATCTGCATTCTTTTCATTCTAGGAAGTAGTGTAGCGTGTCTAACAACTTTAGCGTTTCGTGCTCGGTCATATGTACTGTCAAGCAACATTTTAGCATCCAATTATATATTTACCTAATGTTTTTGGACAACGGACTGGTTATTGCCTCGTTTCGCCACTTCGGGAACAACATTACGAGAACCACGTAATGCTTTGGTCTATCACACCTTTCTTTGTCTTTCCAGCAGACAAGCAGCTCTTATCGCTCAGACTACGGGTATTTGGATCACATTTTATCAACTGCTGAAGCCCAAGGCTATAACAGAGCGGTATATTGCGAGAGTCCGTTCCTAAGAAGGCAGTCGATATAGTTTAGTACTGTAAGATCTGGTAATGAAGTTCTATTAGGGTCTGACCACCGGAATAAAGTGTCTCATCTGCAATCCAAGTTGAAAGGATTCGGAATGAATATAAGTTCCAACCCTCACCCAGCCTAGAAAGACAAATGAAAGTGTTCCTAGCATCCTTCATATTCGTACATCACTGTCACCTCTGCTATATATCTTGAAATGAGCCCTAAACAAGAGCCACATGAAAACCTTGAGCCTACGATTAGGAGGCCCAGAGAAGCGCCCCCGACGCATGAAAACAGTCCCAGACAGACTTTTCCAACAGCGGAATCAGAGGTTGCCTTAAGGCCAACTGGTTCGGACATAGATGGAGGTCCTTCGGTAAGCCCCGGCATCATCAGGGAGCCACGGGGTGATGAAGAATATGTGATGAGGAGACATGAGAAACATACTGATGGCTGTAATGAATGCACTCCTGAAAAAGTACATGGAAGGGGGTATGGTGATAGGCCTAATTGCGAAGAATATGCATTCGACGTAATTCAGTACTTGTGCTGTGTCAACGACCAGGTCTATTCTTTAGTGGATACCAGCCAACCTGGACCAGTGTCAGTGAGAGTCGACGAACCACGAGAAGCTGTATGGACTCTTCTACGTGCAATGAAGGATGGTCTACACTTTGACAGTATCGATGTAGATAAACTCCAAGAGGTAGAGACATGGATTCATGAGATTAAAGACGGGTTACAAGGACGGGCCTGGGTGGGAAAGAATGGGCATATTGCCACCGCTGGCCCAATTCACAGGGACAGTGGTAACTTGGGAAATAGGGACATGTTTTTTTTGAGTCGCGACACAACACACCCTTCCGCACCGAATAAGGCTAGGGGTGATGATTCCTATCTATAAAATGGACACTATCCACGTGATGAAACTGAAGAATCACTCACGACTCGATTATTAAACATAGTCAAGCACGCTGTCGGTTGAGCAGCTTGGATTTCGCAAGGTCCATATATTGGCATCAGATATTTAGCAAATAATAGCTGGGTCGTGTGCAAGTATAAATACCACCATAAATATTCTAGTATATGGCGTAGTCTCTAATGTACATGATTTATGTCGTGATGTACCATTGTTCCCATATAACTCATTTTACTGCCCCAGGAATAATAGTGTAGAAGCTCCATTAATTTAGTCTGACCCATCACAGTATGTGGATATTGAATTAGCAAGATCGTTTACCTAACTATGCATCCTAAGCGCTTGGTTATAAATATTTACAGAATGTTTGAGTACAAAGATCGAAATGGTCATATATATGACTTTGTAACGCGGTCATGAACCTTTCTTGAGCATAAACTCATAATTGACACGTAATTGAATTCAGGTTTTGTACTGGTTGATCCCACAAGTAGAAGACGTGTGGGATCAAGCATATACTCCGGAGCAAATCTGGGAGGTTGATGCATCCGGGAAGTACTCCGGTCCGCTCCGTGCTAAAAGTAAAGGCATCACTAGTAGTGAGATTCCGCTCAGATTGTTTCCAGTTTGAAATATCAAAACAAAGTTGGTATGGTTTCATTCTTGTCCCGCATCCCTAATTAGGCTAAGCGTATTCGAAGGGGATAGTACGCGGGTTCCTGATTAATATCTAGACATCTCACACTCAGTTCCATAATATCTCCAGCCTTCTTACTCCAAAGCTATCATCTACCAGTAGCCATGCATTTTCCTAAGATTATCTCTGTTACCGTTCTTGCTGCACTCACCACTGCAGCAGCACTCCCTTCCAGCAGTGATGTACATGCTGTGGTATGAGCTTTACATCGTATTACGCCTTCTCTTGCTAATTTAGTCATGTCTAGAAAGCCTTGAAGAATCATTTGGAACGTCGCGATTCTCAGCAGGTCGCTCAGCAGGTCGTCCGGAATGCCGTCACCGCTGCACAAATGCAGGCAGAGCAGGACGCAGCTGCAGATGCTGCTGCGAGACCCGGAAACAACCTATAGTATGTTCAGTCTATGCGATGATAATGCGAGTTTCATTGGCTAATTCTCTGCTATTTTGGCGGTAGTGCTCACCTCATTTTATAATGGAATATTCCTTTATACAAAATTGGGACACCCTCTTAATGGAAATATTGGTCAGGTTGGTACCTTACAATAAGGTGGTAGGTTGAGAGTGTAGGGGTTGATGTGCCACATGCTTGCTTTTTTGACTCTGTTGGAAGGGGAACTCAGCTTGCTGCCCACTCGCTTAAAGACTTGAAGAGTTGGTTGGGGACTTTGCTTCCCACAGAATGTTAATCTTGGATTCGAACAATGATGTATGTTATGACTAGGTTCCTTGGATAATGCGTGCTAGAATTCCACAAATGGCAATTTCCTTCCGACACTTTCATTTGCAACTTAGCGATCTGCGGAAAGGATACAAGTAGTACCACTGTATCATTGACCATGTTGATAATACCTGCTGCCATGAAGAATGTGTTGGTCTCGATATATCTCCCGCTAACCCCACTGAACTGATTCTAGAAATCGGATAAAGGTTTGCAACTATTTCCCATGGTGATCCAGACTATCATAGGATACGAAAGAGTAAGAAAAAAGCCGACAAGAAGAGATACCCTAAGCAAACGTGTATGCGAGAATAATCTGTTCCCGGGGGTCGAAGAGTGCGTTCATAAAGCGTGGTCTCGGCTGACCTTGAAGATTTTCGTTAAACCCGGCAGTGTTACTGACCACACATGTTTGCTGACACGATACATTGAGCACTTTGCTACCTTAGATGATATTCCTCGATTCATACAAACACTTGATCTTCTTCGCACAAATCATTCACTTCCCACCAAGAACCACCTGGCTACTATCCTGCGGCCAACTGACCTTCCCATCATTACCACCATCCTCCACCACAAAGAAGTCCTTCACAGTAACGTTCGCAGCCACAACCCTCTCCCAAAGCTCCGGAAGACACGTCCCAGGATCCAAGATATAGCACCTTGGTTCCGGCATTGGCGGAGCAATATTCTTAATATGCCACGTATCCTTCGGCCCACTTGTCTTATACTCCTCCGTAACACTTAGTAGTCCAGTAGGGATATCCCGATCCAGCATGGCACGCATAAAGATCTCATATGCCGCGACCGGCTGATACGCCGGTACTTCGTGACCTGCCTGGTAGACGCGCGTGAAGCTATAATTGCCCAGCTGGCGAGTCATGCCCTTGATACCTTCGGACGTGACTAATGGGGAATACCCGGTGCTTGCGAACTCTGCGGCGCGCGAATATGCCACTGCCAGACTGGCCTTCTCGCCGCCGATCCAGTTGCAGGCGTAGTCGCGGTCGCCGTACATCATGTGTACCTTCACGCCGCTGTCGAGAAGGTAGGCTATCGAGTCGAGGAATCCGCCGCGAGTGATGCTGGGCCATGTTAGTAGTCTATGGTAATTACTTGGTCATGAAGAAGGTAGTTGGAAATGTATACTCATAGGTCTTCTCGAACTGTTTGTGGACCACGGGGGCAGCTTCTGTGAAATTGACAGGGACGCCGAGGGCCTTTAGTACAGACTCTTGGGTCAAATAGCCCAGCATGTCTGGACGTTTCGATTGGGATTAGAGTCAACAGCAAGATAGCTTTGGGTGGTTGGACTTACGGTGAGCTGGAAACGGGTCATTTTTGGGATGAGAAATGTCATACCAACTGCGCTAATCCAACCAGAAGAAACTATTAGTACTATCGTCGGGGCTTAAGGACCTAAGCACATACGTTCAGTTGTTGGTATTGAGCAGTACCGCCTCCCTCGCAATCTAGATCGATATCTTTGCATATCTCGGATATGTTTCCCTTCTGAGAAGCAGAGTCCCAGTCCTTCAAAGCTGCTTGGCACGCTATCGCTCTGTCGCGACAACCGCCGGGACGAGCCCATTCGTGCATTAGCGAGTCATATAGAGACTGGTTGAATATTTGTAGGCCATATGTCTGTTTATATAAGCAAATATCAGAATAGATAGTTCCAAGCCGTTTCCTCTTATAGACGACGCGTAGGGCGACAGGAAGAAACATACGTTGTTATACCCGATGGTAATATATGATTCTCCTTGGACTACAGCATCGATAAGACCATTCACAATCCCCAACGTATCGAGATGCAGATACTGCGCGCCCTTTTCCGCGGTCCCCTTCGCAATCCGATCATTCTGTTCCTGGAAAAAGCCGAAGATCGCCGGACCATAGTGACCTCCATAGCTCTCAGCCCACAGAGAAATTCGATCATCAACAGGCTTATAATGAGGAAACTCGAAGAACCAAGTCTGCGCGAAATGCCATAAAGCATGAGCCGCAAGCGCACTGCTGTTTGCGGTTTGTGATAGCGTCTGGCTCGCAAATGTACCAACACGGTGTGTGAAGTTAGATTCGGGTATATCTACCGAGAAATCCCCAGGCACGATCATAGTTTCCACCGCGTCGTAGTCCATGACTAATGTACCGTTGGTGGCGACATCGTAGGAGAAACCGACCTGCATAGGTTGATCGAGAAACAAGAGGTTAACCTCATTGTTCCAACTCCAGGGGTTTATAACTGTGGTTTTGGAATCCGACGCCACGGAACAAGGGCCCAGTTCCTCGAGAAGCCCCATGAACGAGGAGCCACCGGGACCGCCATTGAGCCAGATAGCGAGGGGCGCGTTCTTGGGGTCCTTGCGCGCCTCAAAGAACCAGAAAAATCTATTTATGCAATTAGGTCTCTATGCATTCGTTACTGACTTTTGGAATACGACTGTACGTGTTCATGGGGTAATCTTGTCGGTCCCCTATATCATCGGCAAGAAAACCGGGGGGCAGATGAACGTAACCCGAATACGACCGAACACCAGGTGTTGTTTCACATATTCCGGGCTACTAATTAGTGAACAGCTATGCTCTTTCAAGTGGGATATCTACCTCTTTGAATGATATGGACACATTCTCATGTAGCTTAGACTTGACGACGGTTACCCCCTCAGGCGTGGGGGGAAATTGCGCCGTGGCGGCACCGAGCAGGGCGCACAGTGCCAGGTTGAGAAACATCATGGCGCGAAGTGGTAAAGATACTACCCTAAATCGGTGGGCCCTGCGGGTTTAAGAACAAACAGTTTAGCATAGCGAGGCTGGAGATAAGCTTTCTGGAAACGTTGCGATAGGCCCTAGGCCTTCCGGAGTCCGTCGGGCTACCTCTCAAATGCTTACTTTGTACCCAAGATTGTACTAACAACCGGGTTAGTGGCCCCCTAAGTATACCATATCAGCACTAGTAGCCAGTATCTATCTAGTTGGTTGACGGTATAAACAAAGAACTGCAGCCACACTAGGCTACAGCATTGTAACCCTGTCGGTCTAGGCCTCCAAAATGCTAGTCGTCATTTCCCTTGTATGGAGTAAATAACCATGTCCAATCGCTAAACCCGAATTATCTGGGGATATACTTGGCAGCCTCTTCCTGCTTTCATTGGGGGACTACATAGACTCAACGCCCCACAGAAGTACTTTAATAGTATCGATGTCTTAAGATACAGCTTCGGAGAGAAAAGGAAAATAAAGCAAGAAATTGAATATCCTAACGCCATGTAATTATGTAAAGCAGTCGCCTAAATATGTTCCTAGAGACACAATGGGTACAACATAGAGATCAAAAAGAGAAGAAAATATAATATAAAATAAAATAAAGTGTTACACCAGTTGCAGAACACATCATGCCAGCTTGACCATGCACGGAATAAAACAGCAGATGGCAGTGTAGACTTAGAATGGTTGTTAATCCCATTTATCGCCATGATTCAGCCCTAGTCTCTGCTCGAGCCCAGAATTCACTGGATTTGTACTTTCCCCATAAACTTGTCCCAGTTTCAATGCTCGGCTGTGTAGCCCGGATAAACGTCATGAGCCCTGCAACATGGAAATCTCTCTTGTTGCCGATGAGTCCTTGTTCTTCAACGATGGTACGGGCTTCCTGGACTTTGCGTCGATCGCTCGCAGAAAGGGTGTTTTTATGTCCTCGTATTTCTTCGAGGATGTGGAGGATATCCAGTACGGGGTATCCTTGAAGAATTATTGTCAGACTATTACAGTATCTCGAAAGGCTCACATGATATTGTTCAAGGGAAATGATTCAAATGCCGACAAGATGGCACTTACCAGAGCTTTTCGGTGCTTGCGATTGCATCGGGAGGGCTGGGGATTTCTGTTCAAGGTCGGCCATATCTAAGTGAAGATAACCACGCTCTGCCTGTTTCACGTCGTTCTTGAATAAGTAGAATGATATCCACCTTTCACTGCCAGGAGAACGCACCTCGCTTATATACATCCACTGGATGCGGTCAGACACATACAAACCTCTGCAGGATTTCTCTGACAGGTATGCACAACGATCCTTTAGCTAGAGCATAAGCTTGGCATCCGCGGACCCTTCGATACTCACTAGCGGGACGCCTGAATACGGAATCTATTATGAAACAAAAATGATCAGCCGGACCGGAATATTAATTGTGATCAGCATGATGATGAGTCAATTGGAGGGTGAGGCTTCAGAGATTGGTTGTCCATAAACCACAGTGATAGACATCGGCACACCGCCCCAAAGCTCTGCACATCCCATTCGAGTCTAGGCCAGCATAATAATTCCAAATGGGAGATGTTCAGTATGCGAGGTCGAGTAATAAACGCTTCAATCCCTATATTCTGGCAATTAACGAGCTTCGTTGTCCTGCCACCCTGACTCACGGCAAATGTGATATGTCGAATAAGGAGTCGTTGCCTAGAGCGTTGAAACGGCATGGAGGACTTACCATTCCTTTGAAGAAGACAATCTCTTTTTCTTTCTTTCTTTCATTGATTCTCTCTCTCTCTCTCTCTCTCTTTTTTTTTTTTTTTTTCTTTTCTCCCGTTGCTTACAGTCAACTTACTAGACACTCTACCCAATCCAAAATTTGGAGGAACGGGAAAAGATGGTGAACAGGAAAGATTGAGAAGGTCAGAGCTACCTTAGGCATGTACCAAGAAACCTCTACCCTCATAGCCCAGCTGCAAGGTACTACCGTGTTTCTCTCGTGGGTTGGTGCAGATCAGGCCGGGGAGTTCGGACCACCTCTGGATCAGTCTCATTCAAAGGTACGTACAGCACATACCGACTAATGAAATTCATCTGTCTAGCTAGACCTAAGTTACTTTCTATGTGTCACAATTCTGTCTCGCTTCCAGAATCACATCGGATAACGAGCCGCGCGGTAGGCAGAAGTCCGCTATTCCCTTACCAGAAGTGAGGCTGCCCACTTATTATTAGGGTTGGTTGTCCGACCGCCAACCGCGGGTGTTTTATTCCCGTATTTTCTGCAGTCACCATTAAATCTGACCGCGACGACAAAAAGTACGCAAATGTCCACCGTTTTGAGATGACATTGATGATGGAGGCTCTGGTTTCCCACAATTCATCCTCCGATCCGTCTTAGCCCCCAGTAGTTGTTTCTTTGTTTTTCTATTTCCACAAAACGTTAACCTTTGTGTCGTGGTTTATGACAATCCAGTACCTGTGGTCTTTTGTCCTAGCGGATTCTATTGTGTATGATTTTCAACAGAAACATGAATAGACATGAATAGGAACCGTCATTCAGCTATAGAGGTTTTCATTAATAGTCTTGGGTTGCTCTAGTTAGGTACAAATTTTATCTATTTATTTTTATTTCTTTTTTCTTTTTTCTTTTTTCTTTATTTATTAACTTATTTTCTTTTTAAAAAAAAGAAACAGAAAAGAAATGTTGATTTGAAACACTCTGTAAACTGACCCAAGCTAGCCATCCTACTTCTACACCCGAGACCTGGAATCTTTGCAACTGTGGTGTTGATTCTGCGCAAAATACGACCTTATAATAAAGAAAGAAGCCAGTGCTCTGTAGACACACATGGCCTACGGGGAGATCAATTTCCTTGGAGATTTTCAAGTACTGTTCATCGGGCGTGACGACTTCCACGAAGAACCCCCATAAAGCACAACGTCCATACAGTGGCCACGGAATTAGTATGTGGCGGAGGTCTCAAGTGAACACATGATTGCATTGAAGTAATAATGAGCAAGGGCACAAAAGTACTGAAAGCGGTAACAGGTTATCTTTGTCTGCAAGAGATATGTCAATTAGGTATGTAGGTTCATGACCCTTTAGAAAATATTGCGGAGATTTCGATGGCGTGTATGAGAAGGGATAAAGATTTGTCCAACAGGGTCCGATCCGTCGAAAACCCCTCCGCAACTAAGATCCGGGAGAATGTGAAGACAAATCTGATGGGTTCCTTGTGATGCTGATCAAAGCAATGCCACAGCACATCTATATTCTTCTGGTCGGCTTTGTGTAGTGGTATCGTCCTATGACACACCGTCCAAGGCTTGCCCGTGGACATCCATTTAATTCCCTCCTCCTGTCTCTTTGCATCCCGCCCGGGATAAAGAAGGGGCAACCACTCGGACGGGGGTGAGAATAATTGATCCAACAATATAAATGCATTTGCGATCACGTTGACCTTGTACCGGTTGTCGTTGACTGTCTTTAGCTCGGGCCGATTGATGTTCTGAACTATGCACTGGTCATCTCGGGGCCAAATGATGCGGTGCATTATGTAGTTGCTGATGCTGAGGTGAAGCGGTTCGTATTTGGGGACCAGAACCATATAGTCGCTCGTCTGCGAGAGGGATATATCCATGTTCTTCAACGCGCCCCATAACGCCTTGGGCGTATTCATACGAACAGCCCTGAGTAATGTAAAAAGTGACTGAACATCTCCAAGGTTATCATCTTGGCGCTCTGGAAAGTTTTCAATCCACTGACCCAACAAAGACCCTAACTGATACACAGATTTAAATGATGTACCATCAGGTTTACTGCGTGAAATCTGGCTGTCAAATAGCTGGTCCAAAACAAAATCACCCGTGTATAACAGGCTGCTCAAGGCGTCCAAAATCCGGATATCCTCCCCAGTAGTCGGGATAAGCTGTTTGTACACCCTGTCATGTTGGATTTGAGCCCAGACATGCCGTAACACAGAAACCACTTGTATCTCAACCATCCTTGTGTCGAGCCTTTTATCTTTCATCGAGTCCTTCTTAAAGAAGACGCGGTAGTGATCGGCACAGTACCCCGGGAACAAACGAGGTTGAGTTGCTTGGGCATTCTCCTTTTCTCCCAAAGAGAGATTCCATGGTACTTCGAATTCCCTCCGCAAGATCTTCTCAACATGGGACTTTTTCCGCGGCAGATAGAGCGAGATCCGAACCCCAGCCAAATCTGCGATGTCACCTCTAATGTCGTCGATGCTGCCGTAGCCTTTCTTTTCTTTACATGCACTAGCTTCAGTCTCTTGGCGTTTTCTCAGTCGCTCATGAAGCTTCTTCTCGAGACTTTCTGGGTCTTTTGCTCTGGAGGTTACGATACACTCCACTGATTCACGTTTGAGGACCTCTGCGCATAAATCCTCGGCCTTCTTAGCTGCCAAGGCGTAGATTTCCTTATCCTTCTTGTATTCCCTCATGAACTCATTAATTACCTTAATACTTTTGTCGGCTTCAAAGGGCATATCGGAAATCGGCTTCATGGTTGGCTTATATAGCACTGTATAATGGAACCTAATCAAGCCAAGAAAGGAAAAAAAAGCAAATAAGCAAAGAAGAAAAGAAGAAAAGAAGAAAAGGAAGTTCAAATGAGTTCAGCGTGAGCGAAAAGACCCGTGAGATGACTGCAGTGTGATAGCAATGGAATACAGAAAAGAAGCAACGCTATTTAACTATCTCTACTACCCCGGACCACGAGCATCATCGACCAGTGGTGACTGGATACTTCCCAAATCGGCAACAGCCAAAATCAAGCGGTGAACATTAGGGCCATGAAGCATGCCAGCCAGCGAACATAGAGATGCCCGATACGCCTATCAGCTGATACTGTAGTTTTTGCGATCTTCCGACTTGGAGCCCCCAAAGCGTTGATAAGGAGGGCCGGGGATTAAACTCATTGAATAAGTTCGTAGTATCTCCGGAATTCTGCGAGTCATGCATTGGCTTGCATTGGTGGATTGTCCTTCAGAGAAGTGCACCATATGAGTTGGCTTGCAGGAGTAGTACGCAGATCGAGTTTTTGGTGCCCACATGCTTATCGGATATCTGGCCTAAGATTTAGATGATAAAATGATTAGATGCAGAGCGGTGTATAATTACCCAATAACTGCATGACAGCTGGTGCCTGTTCGTCTGGGTCGGTTGGGTTCGACTCGCAGCCTTGCATAACTACTTTTCCTGCCTGACGATTCCGAATAAAGGTGTAGGGCAGTTATGCACGTAGTCCGAGTGCGATCCAATAAACAGAATCTTCCCAGTATTATAATACAGCTCTGCATAAATCAAGCCCCTCCAGAACAGGGTTATTATCAATCCTAGCTAACCGAATATCAGCTAGGTGTCTAGCATATATTCGACAAGCAACTTGAAACACCATATTGGATTAATTTCGCTGAAGTGGAGATAGTAGACAAAATCAAGCAAAAAGGGTCAGCATTAAACTTTCCAATATATATTCTCATACGCTTCATGCTCGTTAGTATGGCGCTACCTAATTCTGCAGTAGAGTAGCTTTGCTGTTCGCTTTTGAAGATACTCAAGTTACCCAAAGACATTTTCAAATGTGTTAATTGGCTCATAGAATAGGGCTATACGTATCGCGTCATCGCTTCCCATACGATACTTGGAGGGAAAGTATCTGTCCATCAGCCTAAATGCGTGGGTGTCTGAAAATGCTAGAACGGGAGATTTTACACGGCACTACTCACCCCCCATTACCTTCCGCGTGATAGAGAGGGGATGGCCATTTCACACCCACTGAATATTAAAGGGACCTTCGACTCATCCGACTGGCTGATCCCATAGTTAGTTCGCATTCGAACTTGTGACATCCATGTTACTAACCTGAAAGCCTTTCTACGCTAACCAAGTTCGTGAAAAATCTTGCCATATGGCAGACTTTTTCTACAAATTGGCTAAAGCGTGCCGTTATGGGTGGTTGCTTGACCCTAATACTGCGGCTCAAGATACCCTTTTAGCGTAGACAAGATTCAATACAAGAGTTGTCAAGAGCTAATTTGCATAATGCTTTGCTTGCTTATTAGTTTACTTCGAACGGGGCATTACTGAGTCATGAAAGTCCTCAGCGAACTAGACCATGGAAAACAAAAGATCTCGCTGCAAAGAGTACACCCTCAATACTCCGTCCATTACCTGTTTTCGACAATTGTGCACTCCAGAAAAGAGAGTCTCTTGATTTGGAAATGAGAAGTTTAAAAGTGAACAGAAAGATCATACGATCTAGTGCTTGGTGGAACTGTCAAGTACTATAACTCTGCATGGGCTATTGATAAGCGTGGCGTCATTCGAAAACCAGGTTCTATTTTGGTATTCACTAAACATTTAAATTCAGGGTTTCTACTAGTCTAAGATTCACAACATGGCATTAACAGTTGGAGACTGGCTTGAACGATGAGAATCAAAGTCCTCATTTTCGAGGCTCTCTAACCATAGACGCCAGTCCAACCGCCGCACTTGCAGAGTCACTTCGGTCCACAAATCCAAACTTTTCATAGACCGGCCGTCCATCAGCACTGGCATCGATATAAGCAAAAGCACCCTCTTGGTCAGCCATTTGACACCCCCATCCAATTAGCATCCGAGCAGCACCCATTTTCCGATAGTCGGTGTGCGTACCCAACATATCAAGATCTAGTATCAAGGTCAGCGATTCCTCCACTAGCTATTTCAGGGGAGAAATTCGACATACAGAAATTCTTCTTTCCCCCAACCAATCTGGCACGACCAGTCTCCATATTTCCTATAAATGCATTGTTACGCTGAGGGTCCATGTCCGAGTGCCATGGAGGAAACCGAGGACCACGCTCTTCGGCCGTCTGAAGAGACCACTTTGCGTATGCTGCAATCCGACCGTTTCTTGTATCGACAACCTTGAGATATTTCTCTTGTGGCTTGTGTAGCATGTCATGACGGTTGGCTTGATCCCACCATTGTCGTACTCCGGGGGTGTTCGGCCAGATTTCTAGCATCTCCGGGGTATCGAACGCATTATACCAAACTTCAATTAACTCGGGAATGTCTTCGGGTGTAGCGTGCTCGAGTCTGAGAGGGGATCCTGAGGTCGAGGTGCTTTGTGTTGTATTCACGGTCATTATGCCGTACAGCCTTGGCGACTGGGGATAGACAAGAACCGTACAAGGATTAGGAAATAGATTGCAGTAGAGTCAAAATGATCCTGGTTAAAGGGCGGGGCAGTCTGGCATTTAAATAAGTCCAAAGGTTGGGGGTGGGGCAACTATCAGACAAGAAGAAATGGGAAAGCCAACAATTTCTGTCGAGTCAGATTTAAATGCATGTGGCTGGGAGACGAACGCAAATTCTTGCATTGGCGGCTCCACATTGTAGGGACCTTTCATGCTACCATGCCTCTTCGTCACAATGATCGGTGAGCGGTTTGTCGGATGCGACATGTCATATATATTAGCGGTAAGGTTTATCCTACATGAGTTTCTCTTTCGGTGATAATAAATGAATTATTAGAACCCAGCATCGCTGCTGACACCTCGCTAACGTGCTGATAACTAATAAGTCCATTTCCAGGCCTGGTATTGTAGTAGAGAGTTTCTGGTCAGAGATGTAGATGGTCGTCAGTGTTGGGCGATGTGAATGCAAGGGCTGTGTCGCTTAGAAAAGATCAGCGTCGGTGAGATAATATGGGGTCTCTGGTGCCCCTATTATACCATTCTCATGAGCAGCACGAACAACGTGGCAATATTGGTTATGCAGCATGTTTTAAATAGTTATCACCAGGAGTGTTGAGAGGACAACTTGAGGTTAACGCTGACCGACTCGCACGTCTAGCACTGCCCCTTGCGTCCCTAGGCAGTTTGTACAACTCGGTACGTGTGATTTTACCCACAGCTAGTTAGCCGAATACCACTATGCTAAGTGGTAGAGTACAGGCTGAGAAGACCATGAATATCTCGAACATGCGTTAGAAGGGCACTTGTTAGTCACGTTCTATGAGAACACATGGTCACCCTTCATCATAAAATACGTCCAATTTCAGCCCATTGTCCTGTATCCTGGTTTATTTGCGCTTGAATGGTATTCCCAATGAAGCTGAATGTGGTCCCATCTAGAGAATATGCCAGAAAATAGATAATTTGATCCCTCGCTATGCGAGCTGGGGAGCTAGGTACGGAAGGGCTATTTATACTCTGTAGAACACAGAGTCTAGGCGCTAGGCATACCCGAGGAAGCCGCGCACAGGGCTTTTATTGGCATAATATGAATATATTTGCCGGGATCCTGCTTATACCTTACAGTGGTGCATTCACATAACCTTGATTTGTGCGAACAGCTTAATCGTGTGCAGTGAAAGACCATGTCATGTCTAGACTTCGATACTAATTGTTCACCAGTCTTGCCGACTCAATGAACAAATTAATCCTCTTCCTGTTCTAAAGCTAAATTGGTCAGTATTAGGGCAACTCAGTGGAGCTTTGGACTCTCCGATCTGTCAAGTCACAGCGTAACGTTCTAGAAAACCCTATCCCGCGGCTTCTGAATGGGTCCCGGGCCGTTGTGAGACTTGGCTACTATTTATATACGTCAATGTGGGTCGTATGGATACCATGGAGGAGGCTGATTATGGACTACAATGGGATGGTCGATCTTAAGTTCATGCTGGGAGTCAGTGCAAGTGTTTATTATTAGAGGTAGGCTCCGCAATTGAAGGGTTATGCAATGATGCTTGCGTGGTGGACGAGGATTAATAGACTATTTTAGCGCCAGGATCATAGAATTGTGGCAGAAACGATGGCGATCCGTGCACGTCTCCGATCCATAGTGAATGCAAGAGACAGAAACTATTCAACCCGTTATGATATGCTATTTGTTATATGCTGGGATAATTTAGTAAACAAGACAACATTACTAAGCGGAATATCCGGAGATCTAAGGTGGTCTGGTGCCCATGAGAGCAACTATTTATATCGGACACATTTTTTATGCGAGTTCTTTCTATTATAGTATCTTCAATAGTTGCAAGGCGCAGTTTTACACTCGAAGCTACCCTCCCCATCACTAGACATGTCGAGTTGACCTTAGTTATCGGGCTTGGAGATTACGGTGAAACAAACGACGTGGCCGAGTTGCGGTAGGCGGGAATCCGCTTGCACTAGTAAAAGATGGGCTGTTGCGATTTGGCAGCATTCGCCAGCAAGGAACTGTTAGCGGAGTATTTCGGTGGGGCAAAGCAGGATTGTGGTTCCTGGGCTAAATTCTTTTCCTTATCCGCGAAGGGTGGAATCTTATATTCCTTCTCGGAGATAATGGGATAATCATGGCTTGCAGAGAGCAGATGCAGCCACTGTGCAGTAGGTATGTTTGCCAGTGACATGTACACTAGGATCTAGGAGAACATAGAAGGATCATAATAGTGCTGATCAAACAATATTTGAACGTGGTTCGAAGGAAACAAAAATACATAATAAGTATGGATCCGAAGCCGCGTCTTCGGCGTGGCTGTTGAACTCCACTCCCCATCGCCGAGCCAATCAGGGGTCACTCGGCCATAAAAATAACTGTCAGCCCTAAAGTTGGTAGTTGGTCACGTACGACGCCAACGACCTTAGACGAAGAAATTTTTGAGATCAATTAACTCTAAGTCGCTAGTATTTGAAGTCGCGTCGCCATGCTTGCCCCCATGAACCATACAAAATATTGCTCGCTCCAAGCTTCACCTCTCTTCCTCCTGACCCTTTCCCTGCCCCCTTAATCCACCTTTGCCGAGACGCCGTGAATATGCGAATACAGTCCCTGTTTGTGCTGGGAACGGTCTTCTCGGGCGCAATTGCTCACCCTGAGCCTACTGCTGAAGTGTCGTCGAAATGGCCTTCTACCACAACTACCCCCCTTACAGCACCGACACCCGCCACGCTCCATGGCAATAACGGCGCAAGAAACAAACGTTATGAACATGGCCTGCTTTTAGAAAAACGAGATACAACTACGGAGGACCCTGCGACCACCACAGAAGAGACCACCAGTACGACTAAAGAAGCAACAACGGAGGCGACCACGCAAGCTGATACCACCACTGCCCCTACAACCACCGAAGCAACAACAACAACAACCGACGATGCCACGACCACGACGGAGTCCTCTACGACAACAACTTCGAGCACGACTAGCACAACTAGTTCCACCAGTTCGACGACCTCCACAACCTCGACCACATCCTCCACATCCTCCACATCACAATCGACGAGTAGCATGTCAACCACCACCACAAAGAGCACATCGACTACCGCCACAAAGACCAGCTCGACGTCCACTGCAACAAGCACAATCAGTGCTGAAATGCGAGAATACAATCATCGTGGAAATATAGCCGCCATAATCACTTTTAGCATATTGGGGGCTATCTTCTTTGGTTACGGGTTCCTTCACTGCTATCTGGATTCTCGAAAAAAGCGCCAGATTGCAGCGACAAAGGCAGCAGCGGAGGCCGGATCAGACTATTCTTTGGTGGCATTAAACCAGAATGCGAGATCACAAAGTGAAATCAACTTTGACCGGTCCTCTATGATGTTCGCTTCTCAATCTGCGTCCCGTACGGATTTGTCTTCCGTGGTTCAACAAGGTGCGCGACCTTCATCGCTGGCAGTCAGCGAGACACTCCACCCAAGTCCAGCGACAGGTCCATCCTCTAATAATCCCCGGGGGAACTTCATCTAATACCAGAGGGTCAAATAATGTTCTCAACGTGGTGGTATCCTGTCCGACCAATATAATGTGTAATACGATGTTAACGTCATTTGCACGTCCAGACCTCATTTCCCATCAGCGATGTACAATTATATCCAATTTTCTTCCTATTATGTATTTTCAATATTCTACTTCTTCCCTATCCACCATGCATAATATTCATGGCTCGTATAAGTTGCATTATTTGCAACCTAGACATCTCATGTGTCCATCATCCTTACTAGAAATGCAATAGACTCTGCATGAACAGTCTTCCCCATTACTTTCTAGATTGCCTTTGTCCACGCTGAACTGACAACCAGTCAATTTTCCACTCTAAAACCCACAGCTCTCATACAACTTGGTCAGATATTCATGCGTAATCTCCCAGATGGCCCTTCATATCTTCTGCCAGAAGAAAGTCTACGAAGAAATCCCTGGGTTGAAAGCGGGACTGTATTCAATGTCACGATTCCTGAGCCATGGGGTCATAAAACGGCATAATTACGCCAGTTACATACGGTACGGCTTTGATCAATACACATATTGGTGAAAATTCTCTCTCTTTTTTTAAAATAACTTCGCAGCTACATAAATTGAAGTACCTGTTTTTGGATGCATAGATTTGTTGAATGAGACTACAAGGGGAGCAACCACTGAGTATTTAGTGTGGATGTTACGTGACGGGAGTCGTATTTTTGCTTTTCCAGGATCGCGGGCGTTACATGGTCGAACATTGAACTCCATGGAAAAATGTATGGGTGATAGGATACCAGGATGGATCCATTGAATGGAGTATTAGGGAGGATATCTTAACTTAGCTGTATATCCACTATTAGCCGTTGCAAATTAATGTATAGCATATGTTTCCGTTCTTGCTCCAACCTGAGGTATCCTATTACCAGATATAGAAGTCTAGCTTTGAGTATTCTAACTCCCTCATAGGAGGAAGTACAAAAACTTCATCTACAAGCCGAGTGGCCCTCTTTCTAGCTCCCCACGTGTTATACCACTCTGATTGCACATTTCCCGGAAGATACCCTGTTGCTCCCAGAGACGTACAGGCGTATCTAGCTCCGCGATACATCCTTTATCCATGACACAGATACGGTCGTAATGAATAATGGTCCTTAGCCGGTGGGCAATACAAAACAACGTCTTGCCATGGAAGCTGGAGATAGTTTGTTGGACCTTCTGGTCTGTCTGGTAGTCAAGGGAAGAGGTTGCTTCATCGCAAATAACAATCCTGGAATCCCGCACAATAGCTCGGGCGAGAGCCATCAGTTGACGTTGACCGAGAGAAAGATTGTGTCCAAATTCATCCACCTGGGTGTCAAGATGCAACTGGCTGACACCCGCTGCTTTCTCATTGGCTACCTCGCATGTATCCTCGTCACCATCGGACGGTGCCTCTGGCGGGGACCCCACTAAATGTGCCTCCCGGAGTGCCGACCAGAGTTCTAGATCTGTATACTGGTTGAATGGGTCCAAATTTGACCGAATCGTACCCCGAAAGAGAGTGGGGTCCTGTGGTATAATAGCCAACCGGGATCGTAGATCGTGCAACGCAATGGTAGATATATCAACACCATCAATCCGGATATTCCCACCTGAGAGCTCAGTTAAGCGGAAGAGAGCCGATACGATACTCGACTTTCCAGCCCCCGTTCTCCCTACCACGCCGATACGTTCCCCACTGCGGAAGGACACCGTAAGACCCCTGAGTACCAGTGGCAGCTCATCACGGTAACGCATCTGGACATTTTCAAAAGTAATTTGGCCTTGTTCTGGCCAGGTGTTCGAAACCTCCACCAAGCGTAGAGGATCAGTTTTCTCCTCTTCCAGAGAGGTACCATAGTGATGGAGTCGTTCGGCAGAGTTTATGTGCTGTTCAAGCTCTGTGTACTGGCGAATAGAAAACTGTAGTGTTTGTGAAATGCTAAGCATGTAGGAAAGGATTAAGCCAGATATGCTGGGTGAAACATCGAAACGAGATGTGACAACGAGAGCCCCAGTTACTAGAAGTAGTGTATTGCAGACAAGGTCCAGGCGAACCGAAAGCCACCGCTGGTTGGCAAATATGAGAAAATAAGCAGCGTTCATGGAATCGATTGCTCGACCGATACTCTGTCGGAAATAGCCCTCCATGCTGTACGCTCTGATACATGCAACACCCGTGATAGCTTCATTAAATCTCGCGAATACAACCGAACGGAGCACAGCTTCATGCCGCTTTAAACTTTGAGCAGAGGACCGGTGGTATATCGTAACAAATATAACAATAGCTACTAATGGTCCCACCGCAAGAGCAAACTATTGAAAGAGGGTCAGTGATGAAACAGCGACAAGGAGCCAACACGAGCGAAGGAAGAAGGGCGCTCACATAGTGGAAGTAGACAATGACAAGTACCATGATGGCAACAATAATTAGGAAGAGATACAAAAACAGCCGTACAGTCTCACCCAATTCATTATCCAGTATCTGCACGTCTTTTGAAAATCGATTGATAATACGTCCCAACGGTGTCGTGTCAAAGAATGAGGTTGGTGCCCGCAGAACACGATACATAGCATCTTCGAGTATCGCTTTACTAGCATTGGCCGCAGAAGTTGTCACGTAGACCGAAAACAGATAGAGGATAGCGGCCTGGGCGCCTGTGATACCTGCATATATACCCAGATATTGGCCCAAACTTAGCTGTGGAAACTTGTTAGAAACCCAAAATGACAACCACACCCCGCTCAAAATCGTTCCTCCAGCAGACAGGACAGCTAGGGCCAACACTATGAAAATATTAGCAATAGAACCGGAAGATACGGCATATGCTCTCCAGATGTCTCTCCGTCTCGCATGTCGCACCCTCTCCTCCTCCTTCATCAATGGCGCAGCGTTCCTATTTGTAACCTTCGGTTTAGGGGCAGCCTCTCGTAATTGGACTGCATCAGCAAGCCGAGGTGACCCTGGTGTTTCTTCCTTTTCGTGATGATGGACCGATACGAGACTCTGGAGTACTTCATTTTTTTGTACCAAATGTTCGAATGTACCAATATCAACGATGCGGCCGGCCTCCATGACAACAATTCGATCACAATGAGCAAGGAACTGCAGTTGATGTGTGACCAGTATCCTACATCGAGCTTTAAGTAGACCACATATCGCCTGATTCATGATATGGAGCCCGACGTCTGCATCCACTGCGGATAGCGGATCGTCCAAGAGGATAATGTCGGAGTTAGAGTAAATAGCCCTGGCAATATTTAAGCGCTGCTTCTGACCTCCGGACAGTGTGATACCTTGCTCTCCTATTTCTGTTTGGTCCCCGTCTAAAAACGTGGCGAGATCCGGCCGGAGAGCACATGCGTCGATAACCTGATTATACCGGACCTCATCGTATTGTTGTCCAAATAATATATTGTTTCGAATTGTCGTATTCTGCATCCATGCGTACTGGGGACAAAATGCTGGCGTTGTACTCATACGTACTGAACCAGCCGTTAATCGCATTTCACCTGCCAAAGCCCCTAACACGGAGCTCTTGCCACTGCCAATGGCCCCTATCACGGCGATAAGCTCACGCCGAGAGGCCTGGAAGTCAATGTCCATGAGCCTGAATGGTCCTTTGTCCGTTGTTTCGCTAACAGGCTTACTGGCACCATCCCAGGGTGATGTTGTCCTGGGCCCAGAGGCTGATACAGGAAAGGAATCCACTCCTGCTGTCTTAACCTCCACATCTGGCATACTCTCCCACTCGAATGATGCTTTTTCAAACTCGAATGCTTTCTCCATGTTCCTATCCCATGTAATAAAGTCTTGCCTTTCCTCTGCTAGAAGAAATTCCTGGAGTCGATTGAGGGATGTTACAGCGTCGGTGGTAGACGTGACGACGATATTCATCATGCTGAGTGGCAGTCGAATCGCGTTGAAAACAGCAAGGGAGGCAAAGATCCGATCTGTTGAGAGTCTATGACCGCTCAACGCGTATGTCATGAAGGATAGCAACGAGGCGAAATTTGCCATAGTAGTAAAGGAAACAGTGATCGAGTGTCGCGTCGCTAGAAAACGCCTAAGCAAATCTATCTCGAGCTTTCGTGTCGTTCGAAGTCGCCCCAGGAAACTGTTCTCCCACGCAAAGAACTTGATAAACCTCACATTCTGCAAGATCTCTTGTGTCAAGCTAACCCGCTTGTCTGTAATGGTATTTATAGCTCTGCGTCGAATGATTATAGACCGAACAGCAAAAGTGAGCAAGCATGTCATAGCAACAAGGAAGGCATATCCGGCCAAAGCGCTGTAGCCGATATTAACCAACAAGGTGATTAGGGCAATGATCAAGGCAGTTGGAGTGGCACAAAGTATATGGAGCACTGCACAGCCTTTCTCGAGACGGCTCAGATCCACGGCCATCAACGTGGTTATCCGTCCATCGCTGTAGCCTGTCTTATTGCCGACTCTAGCACGACCAGACAGTCTCATTGCTTTGGAAAACACCTTGGGGGTAAGAACCGCCTTCAGCTCGCCGCCTGCGACCAACGATTGATAGAATGCTTGATTGCTGGATAGGCTTTGTACCAATTGCATGGCAACAAGGCCTATAACTAAACCCATGCCCTTGCCAAGGTTGGGTCCCGGGAGACTGTTGTGCTGGGAGATATAGGCACCCATCGCAAACTCGATTATGTGTCGGAGAACAAAGGGCGCCAGCACCAACAGACACATACTAAGCACCTGGCATGATATGCCAACCCATAGTCCGGGTTTTAGTGTGTCATATAAAGCCCAGGCCAATGGCTGTCTCCCTCCACGTGCAAGCCGCGCACTGAGAGCTTCGTCCAGCCTGTCGGATAGGATACTTACGGATCGAGTTGGGTTCACCGTCCAAATATCCTGGATCTCCAACTCCCGCTTGTAACCGAGCTAATAATATGATAAGACTGTGAATGTATAATTTCTGTGATCGAGTAAACTGACCTTCACGATTGGGGCAACCCATTGGAAGGTAATGAGACTGGCAAAGTTGGCGCCATATTCTCGAGACACCTGCCTTTCCTGTGGTACTGGAGGGATGTTGCGGGATCGTAATAGATTCAACTTGCACCACTGGAAGTAAGATGACTGGTTTCCACCCTGCGACTCTCCGGGTTGATTTTGCTTAGTCGACTCGATCGCCGGTGCTTGTCGAGTATTGAGGGTCATAGTAGGAAGGCTTGGTCAGCTTGATAGACTGCCACGAAGGACAGCTAACAATGTTCCACGACACTCTCTTTCATCCAGCAGGTTCCAAAAAGCCGGCAAAGGGGCTAGGTATTGCCATGGCATTCTTGCTGTCCTCCCTTGGAAGGATCGGCGGTCTCATTAGCGCAGTCAACCAATGTTCACACACACTAAACCAGATGCCTACATACAAGCAGTGCTATCATTGTTACCGGGCTTGTTTATAGAAGAGGCTAACATGAGAGTATTTAAAATATTTAATAATTCATAAATAATGAAACTAGTATCCTATAGTTTATACTCTACTTTTATAAATAAATACATATATATATAACCCTAAGTAGAGTTATTGAGCTGACATAATACTTAATAACTAACTATAGCTAACTATGGTTATATATGTATCCTCTATAATTAACAACTACTCGTAAAATAATTCTAATAGAAAATAGGAAATACAGAACCTGACTGACAACTCTTGGGACTGCCAAGAAAGAATCAAAGTTAGTCCCTATTTTAAATTCAAAAGTCATATCTTTTCAATGTTATCCTTTTTATCTCATGATGTGCGTATATATCCTTACTTGGGTGACCATGCCTTTTAAGTTGTATGATTGACCCTCGGTTGACCCGACAGCAACCAAGGAATGGAAAGGATAATTAAATGATATTAAAAATTCATTTTTGGTGAGCTTGGCTAGAGCCACAGTAGTCGTAAGGGGCCCTAGGAAAGTTAAAACCCTACTGGGCGGTTGTGGCAAAGAGTTAAATGCAAGGGGGCAGCGGTACACTTAGCCAAGCCAAAGTACTCTAAATGATGGGATTGCCCTGACATAGCTATAATTGTGGAAAGACGCGAGGGATGGAGTAGGGAACATGTGCGACCAGCAAGGATAAATGTCCATTATGGATTTAGCCTAGCTACCAGTGATATCATGGTTTGTGGCATTCAAAGACGGACACAAGAGCACCAGAAGACATGTTTAGGCAGCGACCTCTTCACCTACATTATTTTGTAACTTTTTCTGTATCTCGGCCTTGTATCTCGTGGCCCTCGCAAAAGTCTCCTTGTACGACGATGACACCACCTCTTGAACGGTTGCAGGGAGGTATTTAGCAGGCTCACCATCTTCCTGGAATCCAGGCAAGCATTTGCATACGAACTTTGGATTCCCGGTGAAGAAAAATGGGATAGAGTAGCGATCACTACCCGAGCTGTTGATCACTCTATGCAGGTTAGATTTATAGTTGTCGTTGGTCATGCGAGAAAATAGATTCCCCAAATTGACCACGTACGCCCCAGGTATTGGCTGAACCTAGATGGACGACATCAGTATTGTGGAGCTGGTGCCAGGCGAGGGGGAATGTACATCAATCCACTCATCGGTTGGCATGTCTAGTACCTGGAGCCCACTAACTTCATCTTGTAGCAGCAGTGTAATGCAACTGAAGTCGGTGTGAGCACCGATCCCCCGCAGCCTCTCTTCCACCACCTTGGGTTGTGGTGGATAATGCAGGTATCGCAGTGTTGCTACGGCGCCATCTGTAAGAGGCTCAAAGTATGTTTCGTTGTGATTCATGGTGAGTGCTAGGACAGCCATGATATCTTTTGCGAGGTCAAAAACAGCGTGATAATACTCCATCGTACTTTGCTGGAACTCCTTACGATCAGGAATTGCGTCGGGCCATTGGTTGGGGCCACTGTTTAGGAGCCTCTGAAGAAAGTAAGGGTGATCTGTAGGAATCTCCCGCCCAATGTACAAGCCTTCCTTTAGGTCTGGACTGGCGCCTGCCTCATTCATCTGAGATTGAAGAAGCTCATAGCCGCGGTTAAACGTATTGTTCCCTATAGACATCAGTGCTTGCTTTATCGCAGAATCGCCTAAGACATACTTTTATCGATTTTCAGTTTTTCTTCGAGCGGGAGGCTGAAAAAACGCTTCGAACAGTCCATTGCACGGCGTTGTAGTTCCAGCGGAATGCGATGCCCGGTGATCTGGAAGAAGCCATTGTGCAGGCAGCTCTCACGCACCTGTTCTACCAGCTTGGCCTTAGCGTTGGGGCTATCGCCGTAAAATGCAGAGAAATCGAGGATGGGGAGTCCTTGTGTCGAAGACATGGTGTGTAATATGATAGATAGATAGCCCTACCCGTCTAAGATCCAACTTGTCTCTTTAACGTCTGGCGCGGGATTTATAATTTCAGATCGCTTGGCGGAGGCCCTATTCTTGTTCAACAATGGTCTAAACATACAGGCTCTACACCTCATATGGTATGTACTGGGGCACCACAGCAAGAATGACGCGGTTTCTTTCTACTGGCGCACTGGCGCACTTCAGCATTCCAAAGAATCCACTCGAGTGATATGAGAGCACTAGGTAAACCTAATGAATGGGGCAACTCAGGGTTCATATACACGCTAACTGCATGACGCCTAGTAACTAAGCATGGGGGCTCAGAGGATCGGCATGGCTCCAAAGAAGCAGGGAGCGGAATGCATCGCGCATTTTAGCCATGGCTGATTGAGTTGAAAGATTTGTGGAAGGGCATCCGTTCGACAACGTCCATCACTTTTGGTACTTATCCAAACGACAGCAATATAACTTGCACTTCCCGTGTTGTCAACGAGAGAGCAAAGTCAGAACATTCCTTAACCACTCCGCTTGAGAAGATGGGTAGAACCGGAATCTCCGCGCAGCCCTGTTTCTTTCCGCCACTTGGTGTTCGGTCTAAGCATGAATCAGGTCGAAGTGAGGTTGTCGAACTGCGAGAGTCCGTCATTGTGCCACTGAAGGTCCTGGATACACAGCTCCTAGCTTCCTGGCTTCAATCAGAAAATATCGACCTGTTATCTTTGCTAAAAACTGCCTGGGCAGTAGTATTGAGAGCCTATACCGCTGGAAACCATATTTGCTTTGGTTTTGTGGGTGCTGAAAAGCAAAAGAGACGGGCAAGTCATTGGTCAGAGCTGAGAGAACAGGTCAATGTCTATGAATCTGCAATCACTGGCCGAACATTGATCCGACAGCTCCTCCACCATGGCGAATACTCAAGCGACTCCGAGTGCTCTGACCTGAGCAACACGGCCAATAATACTCCTCCCACTTCTGGCTGGCCGTTCAACTCTATCATCTGTATTGGTCATAATGACCCTCAAAAAGGTAGTGAGTCTGTTCGGATGTCACTGTCCGATATGTGCAGGGAGGGATTGAACGAAGTACATACACACTGCGATTTATGTTACCAACGGAATAGATCCGTCAGGCCACTATGATAGCCAGATGTTGCTAATACTGTGTTATTCTATGTATAGTTTCAAATTATCGTCAGCCTCTATCGCGATGAAACTACCAATGTACTGTCAACCGTGATCGATTATACGACTACGGTCCTCTCCCACGACCAAGCCCAGGCTGTGGCAGAAACACTGAACAAGACTATATCAGAAGTTGTCCAGCACACCAATCAAACAGTAGTAGCCCTTGACCTTTGTTCGGACTTTGACGTCCAACGAATGATTCAATGGAATAAAGCTCCACTGAGCATGCCTCGGCGGGAACAATGCGTATCTCAACTTATTTCGCGACGGTGCGTAGAGCAGTCCGACGCAACAGCAATCTCGGCATGGGACGGCGAAATGACTTACGGAGACCTCCACCAGCGATCCTCCGCACTCGCTGTTAAGTTAACTGAAGTCGGGGTTGGCCCTGGAGTCTTTGTTCCTCTATTTTTCGAGAAGTCCAAATGGGCGGTGGTAGCGCTGCTCGCTGTGATTAAGGCGGGAGGGGCTTTTATTCTGCTTGATATCTCGTATCCACCGAGACGCATTCGCACTATCTGCGAGTCCGTCCTTGCGAAGGTGGCGGTTAGTTCTCCACAGTCCCGAGTACTGGCTGGTGAGATGGTACCTCTGGTCGTCGCAATTGGAGACGACTGTAGAGAAACCCCCAATCTTTCTCATTCCCCCACGTCATCAGAGCCACTTGGTGGGACTCCTGACAGTCCTCTGTACGTGATTTTCACATCCGGAAGTACAGGTGATCCTAAAGGTGTGGTTATAGATAACGTCTCCTTATGCTCCACATATGACAGGGTTTGCCATGCTCTCTCATTCAGCCGGTCCACTAGACTGCTGCAATTTGCTTCACATGCCTTTACTCTGTGCAGCCGTGAGATTCTGCTGGTTCTGATAGCTGGTGGCTGTTTGTGTATTCCATCCGAGGTGGATCGTGTAAACGATCTCGCAGGCTTTATGAATCGGCACCGGGTTAACTTTGCAACCTTAACTCCATCCGTGGCTGGTACTCTCTCTCCAGCCTCCATTCTAACTCTCCAAACATTGCTACTGGGAGGTGAGGTCGTAAGGCCAGCTCATATTGCTACTTGGGCCGGCAAGGTTCATCTTATGATTGGATACGCGGCCAGTGAAATCGCTGGCACAGCCAGCGTGGGGTCTAATCTTCAGCCACATAGCGATCCTCGTAACGTGGGATTTGCGTGTTGTGCGAGCCTCTGGGTTGTGGATGCTGAGACTCCTCATAAGCTTGCGCCTGTGGGAGCAGTTGGGGAGCTTGTCTTACAGAGTTATGGGATCGCTTGTGGCTATCTGAACGACAAAGAGAAAACTAATCAGCGATTCATTCACCAGGCAGGATGGCAGGCAAGACTGCCCTTGCACGCCCGGGCAACCGCACGCCTATATCAAACAGGAGATATGTTCCGGTACAACGTGGATGGGTCATTGTGCTATGTGGAAAGGAAAGACAACCAAGTGAAAGTAAACGGCCAGCGGATAGAGCTCGGGGATATTGAGTCACACATCACCGCGTCTTGCACATTGATCCACAGTTCTGTCGTCCTGCTGCTCCAACCGGATCAACAATTTCCGAGGTCGTTCTTGGTTGCTTTTGTCCGTCCTGAACGAACTGCACGTTGGGGCACGGCCGGAAACAACCCGTTAGCAATTGTCCAACACCCAAGCAATGAATTTTACCACGACATCGAGACAATTTCCCAACAGCTGCGGGGATCTTTACCCTCTTATATGATTCCACTGGTCTTCATTCCCCTATCTTCTATTCCCCTAACACTGACAGGCAAGGCTAATCGTCGCCTCTTACTGGAAACGGTGGCGACATGGCCGGAGGACAGATTTGCTTCATATCGGTGTGGGAGTCAATCTTCGGCTATATATAAGGCCCCTGTTACTCATCGAGATGGCCAAGTTCGTCGCCTAGTTGCTAGTATCCTGAAGAAAGAGACGGAGGCCATCTCTATGGGTAGCAGCTTCCTGGCCCTCGGCGGAGACTCTGTTTCCGCCATGCGCCTCGTGACGTTAGCGAAGCAAGAGGGGCTACGTCTCACTGTTGGTGATATTTTCAATCATCCGATATTATCAGACCTTGCGACAGTTGTGCGAGAGGGCGCCAGAGAGGAGTTGCAGCCCAAGAAGTACAAATTCAAAGGGGCCAACGCTTACGGTAGAATACTCGGACGGTTGCCCACCGAGATAGCTGATAATATTCATGAAATAATCCCCGCAACCGCATATCAGAGGATGACACTGGCTGAACTTCGTCCAAGATATTTGCGCATCGCTCTACCTAATAATGTAAACCGGGACAGGCTTCTGAGTGCCTGTCAGCAACTGCTAGACAGGCACACCATCCTACGCACCATTTTCGAACTGGACAATGAAACAAATGGCCCCCAGGGAGAGATTGTGCAAGTCATACTCCGCCCGTACAAACTGAAATTTATTGACTATCATGATATTGATGACTTGGATCAACATTGCCTAAACGACACACTCACGAGCCCTTCCTCGACGGGAGGAGGATTGCAATTCCAGGCACAACTGCTCACCATGCGGGATTCCCGCTTGTTCCTTTTGCTTCGCTTCATCCATGCCCAGTATGATGGCATATGCCTCCCGGTTATGAGTGAAGATATATCTTCCGCTTATAACGGTCTTCCTCCGGCCCCAACTGCGCCGTTCTCCGACCACCTTCACGCTGTATGGGCAAGTCGCAACGATGAAGGCCTTGAAGCCTGGAGGAGTATGCTCAAAGGATCAGAGATGACCATTCTGAAACCAAAACAGAGAGTCATCAATCAAATGGAGAAGGCCATACGTGAGCCACATCCAGTCAAGGTGATGAAATGGACAGGACTAGTGTCACCTCCAGAGAATATCACGATGGCATCCGTAGTGAAAGCTGCTTGGGCACTGACATTTGCCAAATTTGTCTCTGCGAGAGATCCTACTACCTTTTGTGCTGAGGCCTCCCTCAAGGACATCGTATTTGGCCAGGTCGTCCATGGACGAGGTCTAGGTATTGCTCATGAGAGCCGTATCCTCGGGCCATGTGTGAACACCGTCCCCGTACGTGTTGACCTGTCCAGGTCTACCAGCAACTATGACTTGTTGCACCAGGTTCAACAGCAGCATCTCGCCATGATGCCATTCGAAAACATCGGTCTAGGTGATATTGTCCAGAACTGTACGGATTGGAAGCCAGGAACCAAGTTCGGCAGCGTGCTGCGGTTCCAGAATTTCGACGCGAACCTATCATGTGTTTTTGATGGAGTAGCCTATGACGCTTCTGTTTACCATCTTCCAAACCGGCCATCAGAGAAGATTCATGTAATCATTATGCCTTCTGAAGATGGCATGGGAATCGTCATGAATGGGTATGATCATGTGGTCCACCAGGAAGAGGCGGAGGACCTGATATCTTGCTTTTGCACCGCAATTCAAGATTTAGCTAGGACGCCTACGGAGTGATATCTTTACCAGAATGAATTTGTTAGGTTGTTTCCGAGGGTAATAGCGAATCGTAGATAATGTCTAAAATATATATCCTGGACCCCAGAAGATTGTGGATGAGCATGAGTCTAATATCTTGATTGCTGGTTTCTGAGGAGCATTCTATAATTCAAGTTTAATGAGTTCAAGTGTTAATCTATTCTCGAAATATATGTTTTAAGCCTTTTTAATTTTATGAAAATGAACTTATGTAATACTAAGTCCAAGATGTGTGGGAAGGAATATATAGAGGTAAAAGAATCGCCCGCTGCCATAAAAATTACACAATTTATCACTTTTCATTTACAGAAAACGTATTCATTAGTACCCTGTGAATATCCATATTATAGATATTAAATAGTCCCACTGAAGAACGCTAGAGATTAGGGTAAAACAGACATTTAGGCGAAACGTTTGGCACAGTATTGTATCATGTTGAATATTAGGTCAAGAGTATGCAATTTCAATCAGCGATAGCCTAGGGTTGGCAGAGGGTCTCCGACTATCCCAAGGGCACTGCAATTACGACTAGCTCTGTACACATTGGCAGGCAGGCATACAATATTCGTAGTCCCCATCCTCATCCCAAAATACCTTCTTTCTTACTGGTCCAGCTCCACACGTACCGTTTGACCCTCCGAGTTGACAATGACGTCCTGCGCAGCGATGAACCATGGGAATTTTGCTTCCCTTTTTGCTCTACCAAGCCAATACAGCATATGCAGAGAGTCCATGCGACTGGGTCCTCTAACAGCCCGCTCAACAGCTTCTGCTGCATTGGAGAGTTCGAATGTGGTGGAAATCATATGATTCTGGATTGACACTGTTGCTGATTGCTGCTCGTCAACGCTGGTTAATGCATGACCTACAATAGATGTAGCCAACTCTCCGAGTGGTAGAAGGGAGATCAGTCGACCCCAGCCTTGTGCCGTTGGAATGCAGTTAATCTGTCTCGCTATTGCAGAAAAGGTGGCGATTATATCCTGCGGAGGTGGTTGCACATTCGGCGCCTGCGTTAGCCGGTGGATGGTCACCAACGTGTTAGTCCTTTCGGCCGCCGCTGTTAGAATTTTCTCACTTGCCCACTTGGATGCGAGGTATCCATTACGGCCATCCGTCGGCGGGGAGTCATAGCTTTCAACTACCTTCTCCACTGCACCACTGGACAGGAAATGGATCGGGATGTTCCTGTGGCTGGCAAGGGTGACGACATTTTTGGTGCCTATCACGTTCGGACCACGAATGATGGGGTACGCGTCCCAAAATGACCGGTTGGCACCAGAGTGGATTATGACATGGGCGGTATCTGCCAGCGAAGCAAAGGTGCTTTCATTGAGCCCAAACATGGGTTCACTAAGGTCACCGTTCAGCGCGGTGAATTTAGGAGAGCCCGCAGGAAGAGGTCGGCCAATGCCTCTGCCCTCTGTACGGACCGCGACAGCATATACATGAGACACCGTAGGCTCTGCAAGGAGCTGCTGGAGAACGACGTGGCCTAGAAAGCCCGTGGCGCCAGTTAATACGACGACGATACCGTGATCTGTTGCTGGCCTCGCTGGTTCCTGATTGATGGACAGGTCTGGCAGCGATGTTTCCTCCATCCAATTGAGCTCGATAGTGGGGATCGCACTTTGTACAACCCCAGCCATGTCACCCAATGTGCTAGCTGAGAAAAGCTCGACTAACGGCACAGAGACCCGCAGGGCCTGCCGGATGAGCCCTTGGAGTTTGACCAACAAAACAGAGTTTCCTCCCACCAGGAAGAAGTCATCCTCGCGACCGACACCTGTGGTATCTAGTGCGGTCGATTCCAGAACCTGAGCCCAGAGTTCCCGGAGCATTGCTTCTGTCCCAGAGAGCTCCTCAACAGAGGGGTTGCTCGTGGATGCTTGTGGAAGTGGCATGGCACGAATAGCCTTTCTGTCTACCTTACCATGAATGGTAAGAGGGAAGTCATCAACTGGTATGAAGACGGAAGGGCACATATACTGTGGAAGGGGAAGCGTAGCTCGTAGTTGCTTCAGGAAGCTGTTGAGGCTTGAGGGTGCATCTCCCTGCGTACTCGGTGCAAGGACAACATGAGCTGTAAGCAGCTGGCTGTCCTCACCATGAATTGAGACGACCGCATTCGTCACCTTGCCCTCTGAGGCTTGGATAATACTATTTTCGATATCTTCGAGTTCAATACGTATACCACGGATCTTGACCTGTGTGTCTCCGTCTAGCCGGCCTTCGATCACTAGGGAGCCGTCACTCAGTAGGCGACCACGATCGAAAGTTCTGTAGGCCCTGGTCCAGCCAGACTGGTGGTATTCAGATGATACAAAGTTGTTCTCGATAAACTTCTCCGTAGTCAAGGCTTCACGATGAAGATATCCTAAGCACGGCCCGGCACCCCCGATCAAAATCTCGCCTGAGACGCCGGGGGGAACGAGCTGCATAGCCTCGTCGACAACATATGTGGTATAATTTGGCAACGAGAAGCCGACGGGAAAAATATCATCCGGGGTTGCACTAGGCTTGTGGTAGTCAATCTTCATTTTGTGAGAGGAAATAGTAACCTCTCCTGGGCCATACGAGTTGTATAGAGACAGATGGGGTAGTTCCAACGCTTGAAATCCCTGAGAGAGTGTAGTCGTAAGGTGCTCGCCACCCCCGAAAGCATGTCTCCAGCTGCTAGCTGTGCGCAGTGAGGCAGACCCATACCGCAGCCACATTGAATATTCTGCTGGAGTGGCTTTGGTATAAGTGATTTGTTCGTCGACAATCAACGTAGTAAGCGACACAGGATCACCGCGAATATCACGTGCGGCCACGATCACGCGGCCAGCAGTACATAGACCCGTTAATATCTGATCCAAGGAATGATTGAATGTCATGGCACCCTGTTGGAGTACTACCTCAGGCCCTAACTCCCAGCGCCGTGTGTATCCCTCAACCTGATTTCGGATACTAGCGTGTCGAAGCAGGATACCCTTAGGCTTGCCAGTCGACCCACTTGTGTAAAGCACAGCAGCAGGAGCATTTGGATCCGAGCTATCTTGAACGTTTGAGTGCAAGCTACTGTAGCCACATATCTCTGAAGTATTCAAGACCACCGCGCCAGGACAGTCAAGATCTCTAACGTCGGGGTCGGTTTCATCATTACAAAATATAGCCGTTGGTTGACAGTCATCGATGACTGTCCTAAGTCGACTGGGGGGGTTACGTAGGTCAAGTGGCACATAGACTGCATTGAGGCGCCAGATAGCAAGCATGCAACATACCCATTCCGCGGTGGGGTGTTGGAATACACAAACAAACGAACCTGGGCCGACGCCGACATCCCGCAATGCGAAGGCCAACGTGCGCACACGATCCATCATACCCCGATAGGTGAAGCTTCGGCCCTTGGTATCCACTACAGCGACAGTGTGGCTGGGCTGGGAGAAAGAGATTTCCTCAATCCTCCTTGAAACAGTAGAAGGCCATTGGGCCTTGTAAGTGGGGCCTTGGCCGACCTCAACAGCGCGGTCCAGATCTGAAGGGTGCCAAATGCGTGGAGCATTCACTTGAAGCTCAAGATCATCTGTGAACGCTTCCAGAAGGTTGATGTAACTGCGAGCAAGAACCTCACTTCCTTCTCTGGAGTAAAGTGCTTTCTGAGTCCGGAAGTGAATTGTCGCATCGCCTTGAGCAGACTCGGTGACGAGAAGCGTAAGATCATAGATTGTTCGTCCGACAGCCATCTTCGTACAGGATGAGGTTATGTCTCCAATTTTCACTTCTGCTCCAAGGCGAGGCTGCCAATCCATGAGGACTTGAAATAGTGGACTATGTGTGTTGCTCCGAGGGACTGCTAATTCGTCGAGGAGTTTATCGAAGGGCATACCAGAGTGGGCCAGCGCACCATAGCATGCCTCCCGAGTCCCCGCAAGAACCTCCATAAAATTATCAGGAAGTATCCGGAAACGTAGCGGCAGCAAGTTCAACAAAAATCCCACAGTGCTTTCGTTGTTAGGATCCAGTCGATTAGAATCAGCCACTCCAATGCAACAGTCCTGGGTCTTGGTAAGACGAGCCAGAAGAATCCTCAATACTGTTAGAGAGAAGTGAAATGGAGTGACTCTGTGCCTACGGCACTGAGATCGAATTTTATCCATGATGGTATTCGAGATACAGAACTGAAGCTCGTGCGTGTCATACTCCTTAAGAGGTGGACGAGAGCGAACTTTGGCCATTGGAAGAAGTGCAAGCGGTTCCGGCAGCGGATTCAGCTCCTTTTTCCAGTAGTCCGATTCTTTATGCAGCCTTCCCTGTTCATAGGAGATCCTCTGTGCCGCTGCAAAATCCGGATATTGGCGAGAAACCGATGGCAGGGAGACCTTCCTATATGCTTGGTCAAGCTCGTCAAGGAGGATGAGGCAGCTAGCACCATCCATGCACATATGAGGGTAGCCAATGATCAAGAATGTGCTGTCTGTCGCAGCAGTTCTGATCAAGCGGAATCGAATACATTCTCCCTTCTCAGTGTCATACGGATGGTCACAGATTCTGGTATACTGATCCAAAATCCCGGATTCGTCGTCAATATTACACACCTCCAACTTTACTGGAGAGGTCGGCAAGATGGCCTGGCATGCATTCTTCATCCCTGTTCCCTCACTCAAATAACACGTTCTCAGGGACTGGTGCCTTTGGCTGACAGTCTGGATAGCTGCCTGGAGATCCGTTTCACATGGTTGACCATCCATAGTAAAAAGGAGGGTGACATTGAATGCTGTCCGGTCTTCATAGTATCGTTGAAGAAACCAATAGCGAGATTGGGCATATGATAGGTGTTCTACTCGAGAATATTCTCCTTTGCTCAATGACATGTCACCCATACTGGATGCGGCACCTGAGCTTCCGGTGGTCGGTGAAGCAGAGCCGGAGATTTCGGAGCGCCCCTGTGCCCAAGAAACTGGTGAATCCCATTCATCTTGCTTCATTAGTTGGGCAAGCCACTCCTTAGCAGCATATTGGACTAATGAACCAATAGAAGCGTTATTAAGAAGGTTCATAATTGGCATGTCAACACCCAATTCGTTCACGAACCATGACCGAAGGCTGGTAGCAACCAATGAGTCCACCCCTAGCTCAAACAATACGGTATTGGCAAGAATAGGCTCTTCTTCCCTCAGTCGAAGGACCTTCCGAAGCTTTGCAGTAAACCTCTCCTGGATAATCTTCTGCAAGCTATCAATCTCCCGGTCACTCCTACTCAGCTCCTCTTCGAGGGTGAGGTCTTCCTCTCTGGACTGTCCATCCGCTGGCAGCGAAGAAGTACTCTTGGGACTTATTATAGGCCAAAGGATTGGGTTATGGGAGCAAGCAACGTCTGAACTTTCCATGCTCTGGCCAATAGCTGCCGCGGGGATCACATTTAAGGGACAATGCGAAGACACGCGGCCGGCAATGATTGCTTCTGCCAATACTTCACCAATGTCCTGTTTCGAAAGACCTATTTTCGCAAGAGAGTTGGAATGTATTATGCTGGCTACTAATCCCGTACTTCTTCTCTCATATGCAGTGTCGAATAAAAGGGCGTCACTCAGAAAAGTGGCATTTTGGCTTGCAAAACTAGCTGGCCACATATTTCGGGCGGAAAGAATGAAGAAGTCCAGTTCGCAATCATTGTATACTTCGCTGAGGATTCTGGCGCCGTGGACCTCAGGTAGTGATGTGTTTTGGGAGGCCGTATGTGGAGTAACATCAGGGTCAGGCGTCGTCATAACCCCACTCATAACACCTCCTATCTGGCCGATATCTTGAACTATAGTAGTTTTCACTGCAATGACCGACTCCTGATTGGTGATGTCCCTGTTTTGGCGTGTGTTAGTATCTAACCACTATTCAGCTCGTTGGTGGACACTTACATGCTCATGACGCTTACCTGGGCTCCTAGATGGGCCATTTCATGTATCCAAACCTGATCAAAACCAAAAGATGGATTTATGAGTACGACCTTTCTAGCACCCTTATGAATGAATAGTTCTGCTACAAGCTGAGCAGATGCCCCGTCTAGATTTATAATGAGATAAGCCAGCTCTGCAGAGAACACAAACTCAGAGCTAGCTTTCTGCACGATGGTTCGAACAGTGGAGGGGTTAGACCAATCCACCACGGCCGGTAGTCCTGTATCAGGTTTCAAATCAGCAAGCTGTTGGACGTTAATCACGCTGACCTCCAAGACTTTCGCGACAATCTTGCTCTCTGCCAGACCAAGAGCCAAGTGCAGAAAGTCTGCAGCTGTAGAATTGTTCGCTTCACGACTGTGCATGTATGGTTCAGAGGAGAAAAAGCTTCCGATTTCTGCCACAAAAGCACCCGGAGCTAGCGGTAGGTCTGAGCGAGAGAATATGCCCCCGGTCTCCTCATCACACCTCAAGATCATCGATACGTTATCTGGAAGTAACTTGGCAAGAGCGCGATTGGGGCTCAATGGATGGATATAATGATCAGAAGTGGCAGATTCGGGACTACCAGTCGTGAACAGCAATGACACACTTTGTGTATGCGCATAGGCTACTAACAGCTCCCGAAGAGTGTTGCAAGGCTCGTGGACGACTAGAGTGCTGTTCGAGCCGGCGAGGCGGACTGCTGCTACAGCTGTCAGGGCCAGAATCACCGCCATCAGGGGCTTGGCCCCGTCTTGTGCAATACACTCGAAGGGATGGACCCAGCAAGACGGAACTGAAACAACCGAAGAAGATTCGTCCGAAAGACAAATAACAGAGGACCGCCCATTGAGCACCTTGCCAGCCACAAGGTACAAACATTCATGACCGACCTTGATTGCCGACTGCGAGGAAAATGCTACTTGGATGCGGGTCTTTTGGGGTTCCTCCTGCATTGCCGGCTGTATGACCAAGTGCTGATCGCCCGGATTGGAAACCAGGCGGACTCCAGACTTTGATAGCTCAACGTCTTGGTATGTGGTTTGTTGATCCGCAGACGCCCGTTGGTTCATTGATTCACTATGCCTGATCCTGGGGATGTAGACCACCCCACCCTCCAATAGCAAATGGGGCTCATTGCTCCATACATGTGTTGGGAATTGATGATCATTAGTAAGGGGATTGTTAGTTAGCCGGAGAAGCGCGGTTGCAAGGCTACACGCGGTGGTCTGGGTGTCATGGCTCATTTCAAGACATTGCAGGCGAAGTTGTTGCTTCTGCGATGCGAGACTTCGCAACGCAGCAGTAAAGCTTCCTTCGTTCCATATACTGGACCTAGTGCCTCGTTTCACGCAAAGGATATTGTCACTTACGTTCACCATATGATGGAGCGCATTGTATTGATCTTCGTCGAGGTCTTCAGACCATGCGGTGTCCAAACCACACAAGTAAAGGACATTCAACCTGGTGTGGCCTACCACGCGTAATGCTTTCAGCTCCGGAACCTTGAATAAGGTGCCGAATCTTGGGGTCAGAATTGCTTCTAGCCCCTGCAAAAGGCTCGCGGTTTCTGGAGTATTGCCCCCGATGATATAAATGTCACGGTCATCTGGGGCTGCATCAGCTCTCATCAATGGGTCTCGGAGGGCAAGGACTGTATCATCCACGGCCTGAGACACTACCAAAGAGTATGGTTGCAAAGACTTGTCCACGGTGGGGGTGATTGTATCGATCCCGGAGAAGCCACTATCCTGAAGGGCAGAGTGCCACCTGTTGGGTGTACATATTTCCTCTCTTCCAAGACCCACGGAAGGTGCAAGGAGCATCGGATGGAGTACAGATGGATTTGTCTCCTGGATAGCCAACAAATAACCACCTGGTTTCAAGAGGCGACGAAGGTTCAACAATGCTTGGTCACGGGAGATAGTAGGGCAGAGTACACTGGGGACTAGAACCACATCGTACGAATGCTCCGTGTAGCCTTGATCCGCTGGACGTTGGGAAATATCAAGGTGCATCATCCGATGCTCATGTTGGTTGCCCACGTCACTATATCTCTTCGCGCAGTAATTGGGTGGCTGCGTACGTGTATAAGCCTTGAAGGCAAGGCCCATACCAGCAAAAGAATCGTCTGCCTCTGCGTACCCTCCGCCTCCCACCTCAAGAATATTCAGATGTGGATATCGGAAGCAGATCTGCTTGAGCACATCCCGCATGCCAAACCTGAGCTCAAGAACGTCAGCAGAATGTCTTTGCCACTCATCGAAACGAATGCTTGATCTATCTATCTCGCCCTGCTGCTGGACTGCCTTAACGAGGTCTTTGCCAGCCGCATGCAGAATGTCATAGGTCCTACAGCTTGACCCTTCGGGCGCCAGCGCTTCAACCTGTTCGATTGTATCAAGCATCCACTCCTTACGGCAGACCGGATGACCTCCCGAGCTCGTCTGCTCTAGCACATTATCGATCCAATTCAATAGCCCTATGGTCTGGGCACCCATGTGAATGCGTTTATGTTGTGGGACGAGCTTGGCCGCATGGGCCATGTAGCAGAGGGCAATCCGCTCGTGCGTCTCTGGGTCCTGATCCTTCACCCTTGTGCGCAGGTCTGTGCTCTCCGCGGAGGCATGTGGGTTCAAACGGCCCCAGGCGACTTCTGAAAATAATTTGTGACTGCCTGCATCCGGGTCCATAGCTGGCACAAGACTAACACCCTCTAGCTGCAGAATCCCTTGTCCCCCCTTTGCGAAGAGATCAACGTCACCTTCTATTTCATAGCTAGTGGCATTGCTTAAGATACTGTCGAATGTCACTTGATCCCCAAGTGTGCCCGAGTGGAGTAACATGGGATTTAGAGCAATCCGCCTAATCTTACTCGGCACAAAAGGACCTGATAATGGCCTTGGACCATGTGCGTCTGCAGCTGCGAGAAGAGTTTGAATTGAAGCATCAAGCGCGGCTCCATGTTGAACTTGAGTTTTCGGGCACGTCTGCTCCAGGCTCCTTAAGAATCCGCGAGTATGAGGGACATTATACTGCAGCTTGGAAATCACCTTGAGCTCTTCAGAGACTTCATATCCAACCCTGGCGAGTGTTGAATAAAATGGAGCAGCATCCGTTAACGTCAGGCTGCCATCATCAAAGGGTTGAGAGGGTAGCAGCGTTGGGGACTCATCTCCTTTATGGAGGGATGCCTTACCTGAGGCACAACGCCGCATAGAGCCTTCAAATTCAATAAAACAGGCGAAGGCCAGATGGATGAGCTTCTTATCGTCAGCCAATACGTCAACCGTGAACAATGTTTCGAAGCTCTGCTCCATTTGACCATCTAGCACAGCAGTGTGCAGTAATGCAACGTCAGAAATTTCGACGAAGCGGAATGGTTGGGCGTTTGTAATAACCGTTACAGCGTTCCACAACATGGCCACATATGCGCTCATGGGAAAAATGATGTGAGACTGAAAACGGTGTCGATCAATCCACGGGATATCCTCGTGGCGCAGGTGGTTACGCCAACGCCACTCACCTTCACCTGTATCTGGACAAAGAATTCCCAAAAGCTCATCTGGCTTATCTTTACGATTAAGCGCAGCATCCGTTAGACGCGACACACCCCAATATGCCTCCCGATGATCAAATGGGTAAGATGGGAGGGACTTCAGGAGCTGTGGCTCACGGGTGCTACCACAAAGTCTAGTGTATTCCTCCAGGTGAATGGAGTCCGGTCCTAGGTGCTCCCAGCACGTCCCTATCATAGTTGCCACCGATAGCATGTCATCTGAGCCACGTTTGAGCATGCTCGTATAGGGTATCTCGGCACCTAGTAAGCTATGCTGGAAAGGCCCCTTCAAAGCTGGATGCGGGCCAATCTCGATGGCAAGGTCAAATATCGTATCGCTGGTTACTGCAACCACGGCCTGATTGAACCTAACTGGGCTGACCAAGTTTTCATTCCAGTATTCCGAGTAGAGTAGCTCTCGAGTATCCTGACCCATTATGCGGCCGTCAAATACGCTAGAGAACCATTTGGTGGCAGGATTCTTCCGAGTCGACGTGATGCCACAATCCTCCAGCGCTTTCTTATATTTGGTTGAGCAAGCCAGCATATGATCTGAGTGATACGCAGTGTCCACCTTGAGCGCCCTGCAGAATTTTCCCTCATCCTGTATCACGCTGCACAGCTCGTGGATTGCATCAGCATCTCCTGAAAGTGTTACACTACTCGGAGAATTATAGGCGGCAATAGTCACTCGACCTGCCCACTTTGGCTCTCTGCACAGAGTTTCCGCTTCGTCGTGGGACAGGTCAGCGGCTGCCATGGCACCTGCCTGGCCGCTGTTGCTCCGTGCCAGTCGCGAAAATACGCCCCTGAAGTAAGCGATGCGAATTGCATCAGAGGCCGTGATGAAACCGGCTGCATAGGCGGCAGCTATCTCACCAGATGAATGCCCTATAACAGCTGAGAGCTCTATTCCTAGAGCCGATAGAATCTTGATCAATATTATTTGGACGGCTGTGCATAAGGGTTGCGACACGGTGGCCTGGTTTATCCGTGATGTGTCAGGCCACAATGAGAGCTCATGCATCAACGAAAAGCCTGTTTGGCGATAATGCTCTGGTAGCTCGTCCAAGGATATCTGCATTTCATTCATCCAGGCACCTGCATCAGGGCATGCTCTGATAACCTCAATCCCCATCCTTGCCCATTGTGCTCCCTGACCAGTGAATATGCCGAGGATACGTTTTGGACCACAGCTTGGGTTTCTCATGATAGTTGCAGGGGTTCCAGGTTGCCGGGAGTATATTTCTTGTCGTATGGCATCTTTTAATTTTGCGCCTGATGATGCAGAGCACCATAGTCGGTGGCCGAGCAGACTCCTTCGAGCGAACAGTGACCACGCCAAATCCGTTAAGTCAATGTCGGGATTATCATCAAGAAAGGCACAATAGCGATCCAGTAGTTGCCTCAAAGCCCACTCAGAGCTTGCTGAAAACACAAAGGGAAGAATGACCCGTGATCCCTTGGAAGGCTGGCTCGGTGGTCCCGCATCGTAACTTTCCAAAATGATATGGGCATTAGTACCACCGAAGCCAAATGAATTAACTGATGCACGCCTAGGGACTCCTGGTGAAAGGGTCGGCCATGGGAGAACTTCGGTTGGCACTCGCAGTGAGCCTACATAAGGAGAAATATCAGGATTAAGGTTCTGAAAGTGCATATTTGGGCTGATGGTGGCGTTTTCGATGCACAGGGACGCTTTAAGTAAACCAGCCAGGCCTGCTGCTCCTTCTGTGTGGCCGATGATTGTCTTTACGGATCCAACCAACAATGCACTACCTTGCTGGGTAGCTGTAGTACTCGGCCCAAAAAAGGCATCATGAATCGCCCTAGCTTCCTGTGGATCTCCAGCACGTGTCCCAGTACCATGAGCTTCGAAGTATTGGCACCGATCCTCGGGGCGGTTCTGAGGGTCTAATCCGGCGTCCGCATATGTTTTCATTATCAATTCTTTCTGTGCCTCCGGAGATGGCATGGTAATACCCGGAGTTCTTCCATCTTGGTTCACATTCGTTGCTCGCACCACGCATTCGATGTGATCGCCATCCCGGATTGCATCGCTTAGCCGCTTCATCACCACAGCCGCCACGCCTTCACCCCGAGCGTATCCGTCTGCATTGGCATCCCACATGCGACTATGACCAGTGGGACTCAGCATGTTAAGGCTTGACTCGCTGAGGAAGACATTAGGGGCCAGGATCAAGTTTGTCCCAGCCGCAACAGCAACGCGGCAATCCCTGTCTGCCAATGCCCTTGCCGCCAAGTGTACCGCTACCAGACTCGAGGAACATGCCGTATCAACTGTGATTGACGGCCCGCGGAGGTTGAAGAAGTATGAGATTCGGTTTGCCACGATGGCTTGTGAAGTTCCTGTCGCAGCGTATCGGGGAAGGGTATCCAAGTCCCGGAATACCATGCTTCGATAGTCATCACACATGACGCCGCAAAAAACCCCAGTAGACGATCCTGATAAATCCTCCAGGCGACATCCGGCAGTCTCAAGGCCTTCATACACTGTTTCTAATAGCAGTCTCTGTTGGGGGTCGATACTCTCAGCTTCGGTTCTCGAGATGTTGAAGAAGGGTGCATCGAATCGGTCTATTGGTTCGTCAAGAAAGTAGGATTTGGCGGCATTGGTTCTTCCAGGGCGTCTTGGATCCTCGTGGTAGAAGGCATCTGCATTGAACCGTCCTGAAGGTGGCCCAGAAGAGAGATCCCGAGGCTCGAGTAGAAGGTCCCATAGTCGCGCTGTGGTACAAGAACCCCCAGGGAATCTACAGCTCCGGCCAACAATAGCAATTGGTTCTGCTTTAGCCATCGTGACTGTGGCTCCAATTCAGATAGAAGTTTCTTTTTTTAGCAAAAAAAAAAAAAGAAAAAGAAAAAGAAAAACCCCCGGCTTAGGCTTTGATACTCTGCTAACAAACTCAGGTTATATATATGAATAACTTTCTATAAATATATATATTTTGTTCGTCCTCACGGCTAAATAAGTACGGTTATCGTGTCTACGTAGCCGCCGTGGTTCAGACAAAATAAATAACAAAAGTTCATTATTGGATAAATCCCAGCGTCACCTTTCCCGAATACTAGCAAGATCCTATCACTCCTCTGGTTAGTCCTTGTCTGAACACTGTACAGCGTGTAGTTGCGCGCTACAGCTAGTCATAGCTTAGTTAGTATGAAGATCTCCCTTTGTCATGCTTGGCATTAAGCTGATCTTCCACAATCCTTGCAGACCGTGGCTGGCTGACCCGGGCTGCACTTCCCCCCTTGCTTCAAGGAACAGAAACAGCAGTCGAGAGGCCCAGAGCACCGACTGACCGCATTCAAGAGGCTGTCGTCAAGAATATTAATGGCTGCCAGTAGGGCCAGCAGATGAATCGCCAAGTTGGCCAAGACGGCGATGCAGAATGGAATGAATGTCAGGTTATCTCGGGAAACTCTCGCTGGAAGAGTAGCAATGTTTGATATCCAGTACGCGTTTGTCTCCTCTTCAGCCTAGGCTCACACCATTGCATCGGGTCATTGTTAGGTGGGCTTACAAGATGGTTGACGCCATTGGACGGCTGGCCCAACGATCGAGCTTTCGATGGTATATATTTAGATATCTACGTTCTGGTATCTAGGCTATAGTCATATGGATATTCACCTCCATCACTGTAAGGTAAAGGATTATAACCCAAATAGTCAATCCCATGCCTATTTCGTGAACCTTGGCTATAGGTTTCCGCATTCCCCAACAAACCCTAGCCATAGTGCTTCGGAATGAGCGGTCAAATTCAACATCCGACATCACCCGTAGGTAAGATTTTTGACGCAATCGTGAGACACCTTGATGCTAGATGCAATACAGTTCACCCACATGCGTGGTTGTCACGGTATCCTTCTCTTGCCCCTTTATCAACTTCCCTTACGACATGAACTACTAGATTAGGAAATGAATGTCAAGAAAGTATGTCCAGCGGTATGAATACCACAAACCGGGCCATCCAAGCGTGGACTTCGTCGCCTTGCATCTTGTAAAATGTGGTTCAACAGCTGAAGGGTGAAACATTTTAGCGCTCCAAGCATGCTGGCCGGGACACCCTGCGGCTGAGGCAGTCATTGGTATGTGTTGGCACAGTATTTACATGTACTATAGATGGATTCCTATCGGGATATCTAAAGAATATTGAAGCAATTGTGTGATCTACCCAAGAAAAAGTGAAAAAATGGCCGTGAATTTTACTCAAATCCCAACCATTGATTTGGCCCAGGCGCAGTCTCTCGCTACAAAGCCCTCGTTCCTGTCAGATCTCCGAGATGCTGTTGTGAAAGTCGGATTCTTCTACCTGAAGAATCACGGCGTCCCAGACAATGTCGAGCGGGATTTCGTAGAGCAATCTATCAAATTCTTCGATCTGCCCTTGAAAAAGCGCCTGGAAGTTGAGATGCTGCATAGCAAGCATTTCCTTGGTTATGTTCGCGAGCAAAACGAGAAAACAGCTCAGCGGACTGATTACCGCGAGACATTCAATGTATGCGTAATTTTCCGTCTTTGGTAGAAATGGCACGACTAATGACGTCCTCCAGCTTGGGATGGATCTGGCTGCTCCAGGGGACGAAGAGCCCGCGTATCGCAATATGGGCGGTCCCAATCTTGTGCGCATATCTTCCTCCCGCGACTTTTGTGATGGTCCATAACTAATTCAGGTGGGCGATATAATCAAGTGGCCGAACGAGACTGCGATTCCGGGATTCCGGAAAGCAATGGAGAATTACATGAAGCACATCCAGACGCTGGGTGACAACTTCAAAGTCCTAGTAGCGGAAGCGTTGGACCTAGAGCCAACAGCCTTTCTCCGCTTCTTTGACGACCAACCACAAGATAGACTGAAGCTCGCCAAGTACCCTGTGCCATCCTCCATTGCAGACAGTGGGCCATTAGACTCCTTTCAGGGAATCGGACCGCACAAGGACAGCAGTTTCTTAACCTTCCTTCTGCAGGGAACTCCCCACAAGGGCCTCGAGGTTCAGAATAAATCAGGGGAATGGATACCTGCTCCCCCGATCCCTGGAACCTTGGTCGTGAACATCGGTCGCATGTTTGAGGCCCTGACCGGTGGTGTGGTGACAGCCACTACACATCGAGTCAGTCTGGAAGAGAGCAACTTCGTGGCTCGCAATGGCCGACATTTGGGTCCGCGGTTCTCGTTTCCCATGTTCCAGCTTCTGGCCCTGGACCTAACGCGAGACCAGATGACCCTGGATATGCCACCCCATGTAGTAAGCCTCGCCAAGCAGATCAAGGTCATGTCAGACGCAGAGAAATTCTTCGAGGAAATGTTCCGGGATTGTGCTGGCAGCGGCCTTTTCATGGCTCGTGTCATCAAGCACGAAGACGTGGCGCGCAAATGGTATCCTGATGTGTTAGATAATGTCCTGAAGGCGCAAAAGGCGGAGCTTGGTCATTAAAACCACGGTAATATCATTGTATGAGGCCATGCACGTGTATGAAGTTAGCTTCCTATGCTACATTCTTATCGCTCGGCGCTTTGCTCAACTATATCCATCCATGTTTAAAGAGTACGAGTAGGCATCAAGTAATGCAAGTTGCTTAGATCTCAATCATAACATAGTAAAACTCAATGTCTAAGGATGTCCCACATACTACTAGGTACTGCTCGGTAATCAATACTCCAGTATACTACGCTAATATATAAGTGACCTCCGAGCTATTCCCAAGTTCGTCCTAAGTCCTTAGCATCACTAAAAAGGATGAGATTGGCTATCAAGCTACTTTTGAAGACATAGCTAGATAGCTCACAGTACAGGGAAAGAGATATGACTACGATATATGTAGAGAATTTAATCTGGGTTGTAAAAGGTCCTGGGCCTAGATTATGACGAGCTGCACTATAAAGAACATTGTAAAAACCTGGTAGGGACCTTTTGAGCTTGTTACTTACATATTTATATAACTATCCTAGAGAGCTCAGGTGCAAGTTCCTTGATATCATTGGTAGCCAGAATTATGATAATATGCCTTCTTACTATGTTCTACTTTAAACTGTGCTTGTGTTGTCATGGAACTCTCAAACATATATTTGTCTTAGAGCTCTAGGTTACATCATTTTGAACACTGATCTTGTAGTTGATTCTGCGTATAACTTTGTATATACCCTTACTCCTAATAACTGTGAGATAGAAGGACTAGGCCACCACGAGATCTCACCCACAATGAAAACAATCCTTTGTATGTAAATTACATAGCTTTTATCAAAAGCTCAACCTTTTATAAGGAACCTATATTCTTCACCTTTTCCAAGCTGGACATTTTGGTTGGACGGATAGAGCTATTCAAATATCTGTAGCGAAAGATACCTTCATTGAATGATACGGACTGCTTCGTTCATTCTTGCGGAGACCTTGCGCTGACATCTTGCAGCATCATGTGGGTCCTCAGCAAGCGGGCCGCAAAAGTTACCTAGTAAATCTGTCGAGTGAAATACAGACTTAAGTCTGCCCCAAGTTTTGTATATAAGACGTGATACTATAACATCATACCTTGGTATTCAGGTGTCGACTGGACCATACCACCAGGTGCAACACTCGGTCTTTTGACCTCGGCAATCAGGTAGACAGCCTGAGAGGGCGGTCGTCTCACACAACCTTCGGGCGTGGGGTATCCTGATCTTGTGTTGGTGATTCATTGATTTGGTGGACAGGTCGCGACGGCAGACTTTGGGAGTCGATCTCTTTTGAGGAACGGAAACACATTGTAGAAGTGATAGTGGGCAAGAGGTGATGAGAGTGTACTGTTGCTGTTTCGAAACTTGCTTTACTTTGCTATAGTAGGCACCAGTCAAATTCTCTTTTCAAGATATTGAAGGGATGTCACTTGTCAATGAGGGCAGTATTTTGTTCAGGATTGCAGATATAGATCGGAATAGTATATGCCGGGTGCGTTTATATAGATTACTTCCAAAACTTCGCTCTACGTCGTCTGGCCATTCGAGGATCCAGTGTCTTTCTATTTAAATCGTCGGCCAGTCGAATTGTGCACAATGACTTGCCAAGCCACCATTTTGAGTGCTCAGAAATAGGGCCAAAGGCAAGCATTAGTCTTGGCAATACAGCCTATGCCACTAATATGTACACCTTGCTGGATTAGGAGCAACTAACGCGAGGGAGGGCGCAACCCAATGTCAAGGAATAGCCTTGTCACGCCTATACACGTGTAGCAGAACAGAGGCTTCTATGTCCGACCCGATTTCGCACGAAAACTACTTATCTAAAGGGAGCCTTTAACATAGTCACATGTCCGATCGCCATCTCTCCAGATCGGAGAACCTGAGCTTGGCATGGGGTCGCGGTGTGATCCTCCACCGGAGATCCATAGACTTGGCGCTGTATCTTGGGATATCAGCCCATAGCACAGGTATCTGTGTTGTAGCGTACTCATGACCGCTTACAGAGAGTAGGCAGTCTTGAGATTCTCCCATTGGCCACATCTTCATTCCCAATTTTCAGTTGTTCGTTGTCAGAATAAACACTTCGTCACTTTTGATATAAGCATCCTTCTCAGCTGTAATTCGCTCCCGTCGCTATTTATAGAAGAAGGAATCCCTCTGGCACCGAGGCTGGTTAGAGCCTATTGCCGTTATTCATATACCTCCTTTTTTTTTTAAAAAAAAAAAAAAGAAATGTTATATAGCCCTTATACGATCGTTGGCAACTAGGAAATGTTTATAGTAAACCACCTATTCTACAGAGGCTTCCTTTTGCAGGTTAAAGTTAAAATAGAACATGCTTATATCTCCCTTTGATTATTTAGTATGTTGCGGTGGTATATTGGAGCAGCGTATAATGCGACCTACAAGGGGATTGAACATTGAACAAAGGGAACGAAAGAGGATTCGCAGCCCTAAGGGCACCCAACTGGCTGGGGAGTGTATGGGTAAATTGACAAAGCCCTTTGAGAACCTCCCAGCAGAACAATATCACGTCTAATCGCACGTTTCTACAACGGTTTCGCACCCCACGAGATATTCCATGCTTCGATGTCGAGACATACCGAGTCATGGTAGATGCCCAGGGACCCTTAAACAAAGCCCATTTTAGGATGTCTGTATTCTACGACTTTGAGGAGAAGGATGAGGAGCTACATTGACCGGGACAACTCACGATTTTTGTTCGTATGGAAACATGTCTGATGGATAGCAAGCTTGAGCAATATTTCATGGTTTCTGCAAGTCCCACGCTCGAAATAACTCGTTCTTTCTCCAATCACTAGCTCCTGAGATTCATTTGCTAACCATTCAATGTCGAACTGTAGGTTATGCTCTTCTCGTTTGTGGGGACACGGCAGGGGAGGATTTCCTTGCTCATTTTTGCGGCACCAAGCTAAAAGATTCGCAGGTCCAACATTTAACGCTTTCAGTCGTATGGTTCCAATGCTTGCTCCTATTTAGGATCTACATAACGAATGCGTTGAATCCAAATGGGAATCCCCCGTCCCATGTCAAACAAAAATAGATGATGCGAATGCCACAGAAGCATTCCGAATATAAGGACTAGGCGGGTCCCTCTTGGCGTCGGGATTTTGCTTTGCGTGGCTGGATCTCCGGACAATCGATTTGTCTGCCCATGTTAGCCGGGGTATCAGACCTCATGACTCGGATACGATTCAACAGACAAGACAAGTCTAGCTGAACAGAGTTGCATGCTGGCGAGCATGCAGAGCAGTGGAGATGTTTGAGAAAACCCCTGGTGCCTCCCCGCCTATTGGAGGAACCGCGAAACGGGTCGATGAGGGTTCGTATTCGGCAATTCTGGCCCACAGACCTAGGCAAACGAGCATTGGCAAATGTGTAGCCTGGCCAGAATTAGGTTCCTGCCGGATCACTGTGATTCTAAGTCGCCAATCATTTTAAGCTAGATATATGGCACCTGCAGTAGGGTGTCATTGCAGAGGATCTTTGGCATGATTTTCGGAACAAGACCAATAGACTTCCGTGATATGTCTCAAATATTCCATTGGAAGTGCATTATTGCCGTGAAGAGCTGAGCTGAGATTTTAGTCTTCTGGTTTCTCCTCTTTTACGGTTCCGATTGAGTTTATAAACGGAGCTCAGGTGCCGATATCCATTTTTTGTTTGTCTGGCCATTGTTCTTGCAATTGCATTTCGTCGTCTCAAGTACGCTTCAAGATGTTGTTCGCGGTAGCCCTCCTCTTCCTGAGAGCTGTCGCCGCCAACCCAGGTTTGTCCTGCCACTATCGTTTCCCCATCACAAGTGCTAAATCTTCGTCAGTCATACCGAGGGAGGATGGTAGTTCTACTCCCACTCCCACTCCCACGCCGACTACATCAAGCAGTATACGCCCATCCGGGCCATCCGATTCATGCGCCACTTCATCAACAAGTAGCCAGTGGTTAAGCGTATGCAATACCACTATATTCTGGCCAACATCAACCAACTACTATTACGGCCCAACCACCGGCCCCGAGGCATCCGCAGTCTCCTGCAACGCCGAATGGGTCGAATACGACGGACGCGCCAGCGGCCTGGAATCCCTCGGCGCCACGTCCACTTCCACCATCTACAGCACCTATACCACCAGCACCGGAGCTTGCAACACCCAAATCTGGGGCGAAGGCTGGGACGACCCTCACACGGGCCCAGCCACCACACTATGTGACGGGATCCCCCGCGCCCTTGGTCCCCGAGAGTACTCAACCACATACTGGCCAGGCACAGGGCCCTGCAGCTCATTCATAGCGACCGAAACCACTACGAGCCTCGTCTATCGCTCTCCATCACCAACCCCCAGTTGCTCGCTAAACACCCAAGACTGTATCCCCATCTGGCAAACCTACACCAGTCTCCAGGACGCCTATTACAGCTCCGTCACAACCTTAATCCCAGGCGACACCAACAGTCCCATCCGCCCCGGCAGCTGCCCATCCACAAAAAGGAACTACACCGAGCAAGACCCCTGCACAAACTGTCACTACCTCCCCGGAACCGCAACGCTCTTCTACTGGCCCGTAACCACCACCAACGGCGACCTCTGTCTGCAGAACGGAAGCACCGTCCCGGCCACCCCAACAGGCGAGGGCCCAAACACAGCCATCGTAAATGGAAACACCTTCGTCTCACCCAGTATCTACGTCTCCTTCACGAGCATCTACGCCCGTAGCAACCGACGCGCCCACCCCGGCGGTTCCTGCGGCGGCGAATACGAGGACGTGATTATCTCCGTCGATCCCACAGCTGTATCCTCCTATCGCAGCCACGTCAACGCCAAATACCCCACCATCGGGACCGCATACCCCTTCGAGTACGATGAGTTCCAGCCCCATGAGGTCGGGAACTACACCATGCCGCTGATACCCTGGGAGAAGTACCAGGGCGCCTCGCAGTGTCCGTTCCGCGGAGGGAATAAGTGCACCATGATTCGCGATGATTATATGCCCTGGATGGGCATTCCGGAGGGTGTGATGACGCAAATTGATCCGCGATGGACGGAATGTGATCGTGAATGGTATATTCCGCCTGTGAGCATGGTGCCTCTCGTTGGCAATCTGGAGTCATTGCCTACTGGGGTCGCGGAGGCAAGGATTCCCACGCCTACGCCGGCGGTTCCTGAGTCGGGGGTTGTTGCGCCTACGCCGGAGCCTACTTTGGGCTAGTTTTTTTTTTTGTTGCTGTCGACGATGTATATAGCGTTCCAGTAGTTATACATCTTCCTAATAGGGAACTCTCATGAGCAATACAGTATAATATCAAGAGAATGCCAATATATATTAAGTATCAAAATTGAAACATACAAATTACAAAACAAACCCCCCCCCAAAAAAAAAGGCCAGAAACCTCATGAAGTCAACCACTTCTCCACCCTCTTCGTCAACGCCACACACTTATTATCCACATAAATCGTATAATAATGCGCTGCATAAACCACTACTGTCCCTAGGATAATCCCTGAAGCCCACCACGCCACATGAAACGACATCGGATCGGTGGCAGCCGCCTCCACACTCCCAGGGTACGGAGTCCCGTTCCCGAGCAACCAGAGATAATTCCGCAACGGATCGCGCAACACATGGTAGGTAGCCTGATGCACCAAATACAGCGAGAAGGAGATCTTGCCGAGATACTGCACGGGCCGGGTGTTAAACGGGCGCTGCAGGAGTCGGGATTCGCCGATCGCGTAGACCAATAGGGCTGAGCCGACGGATTTCCAGCACCAGTGGATGACTTGCCAGTCGTCTCGCCATTTTGCCGGGTGGAAGACCGACAGCCATTGGTAGCCTGGGGTTAGCTTGCCGTCGTCTCCCAGGCAGAGGAGGTGGTAGCCTAGGAGGAACGAGAGGGTGGTGGTGATGCGAGCGAGGGTGAAGTTCTTGCGGTTTAAGATGCGTTCTTTCCAGTTGGAGCGCGAGAAAGGGAAGAGGGACAATTTCTCGTCGTCGTCGCCGTCGTTGTCGGTGGAGCCGTTTCCGTTTGCTGGGGTGGAAGTTGCTGCTGCTGCGGCTTTTTCGGCGAGCCAGAGGCCCCAGATGAAGCCGAAAGTGTCCCAGAGGCCATACCAAAGGAAATAGAGGGATAGGAGAGGTAGAAACCAGAGCCGGAGTTTCGGTCGCCAGGCGGATAGGGCGATAATGATGACGAAGACGACGTTGGATCCGCGGAATTCGACCGGCATGGTCCAGAGCTGACCGTTGAATCCTCCGTTGTATGCGAAGGCAATGATGTTCAGGCTATCGGTCATGTAGAGGAAAAGCCATTGGATATGGGCCCACGGTGCCTTCCAGGGCTCGAGACCCTTTAAGAGGTCCTCGTCGAAGGTCCAGTTGTAGAGATTAAAGAAAAAGAGCAATTGACTGATCGTCGCCATGACCAGAACCGGCAGGTAAATTCGGAAGGGTCTCCGCAGGACGGCAGAGGAGATGCGCGTATAATATTGCGGACTGGGTCGGGCTTTAAGAATATTAATGGAGATCGCATAGCCCGAGATCACCATGAATAGCGTCACCATCGCATGAGCGGAAAAGAGAATGCGGATGGGAGGCAGTTGAACGAAGCGACGATTTCCCTCCGGGGGATCTGCCCAGAAGGACACGAACGGGTGCCAGACCTCTCCCATGAAATAGTGATCGAATGCCACGATCGCGGCTGCGATGCCGCGGAGGCCGTCCAGCCATTTAGTGCGCTCCATGACGAAGAGAGGGGAAAAGGTTTCCCTCGCAGTGCGCTTAACGAGTGGTGTGTTTACTAGGAATCCTGAGCAAGCTTACATGGGCATATTTAAAAACGAGTGAATGATATTCGAACCGGGACTTAACAGGGTCCAAAGTTTCGAGCGAGGGGTTTAAATCTCAACGCAGTGAGGCTGAAAAAGAAGTCGATGACTGGGTCCAGGGGAAAGTCTGGGTTTAGTTCTCCTTATTTTTAGCCTCGCCCTCGGGTTTTTTTATGCGGTGGCCCCCAAAGGTTGCAGAATCAATCTCGTAATGGCACCAATAACGGCCAGTCCTGACGCGAAACTATCTTTCTAGGGTCCAATTCTAGAAAAATTGGGACTAATTTAAGATCACTACGGGTCTTATTGGTCATTTCACTGCCCCTGATTGCCCACTGCAAGAATTTCCGAATTTAGTGAAAATTAGGGCTAAGTGGCCCCTACAGCCAATGGTTTGTGATGCATCGTATCCACTGACTGCATATCTCGTATCGGTGATGGTCAGGCCTGCCGAACAATCGATGGGTCCTCCGAGAAGAACAATCAATGCCAAGTCCATAAGTGCCGAATGGCAGGACCATACGTACTAGACAATCTCTCCCCAGATTGATATGAGACAGCCAGGAATGCGGCTCTTGGGCGGATCTGCGATTTCAATGGATTTTTTCGTGGTTGAAGGATTGGATCCGCCCCACTATTAAGACACACAGCCAATCACAACCATGAGATCCCAGGTCTATTTGCTTCTCAGTCTTCATTACTTGTTCATCCAACTCGGAAAGGCCAGTTGAAGACGATCATAGCTCTCGAATCATTCTCTCCTATATGGAAGACGGTTATACTATCAACTCAGCTTGAACAATGTCTGTCGCATCGATGTGCAAGGGCGAAATTCCAATCGACAATCTTCACCCGATATGGTATATATTTTGAACATCATGGATCCATCCTCATGCATAAGAACATAATATCATGAAGACGCTAAGGAGGTGAGGTTACATTCCACCAACCCCAATCACATGAAATCCGAATAAAAGGGAAGGAATCTGTTCACCTTGTCCATTTCTCTCTTCCATTTTCAGAGGCTTTAAAAAAATGTCACTGCAAGTACCTCGAGAACCACTCCTTTCCCTCCTCTTCCAGGTATGGAAGAGCCATCCCACCAAGACAATTATCCGAGATCTCGCCGACGGATTTGAAACCACGGTGGAAAAGTTCTTGCACGATGTACTGATCATGCGGGAGCGGATTCTCGAGTCTCTTGACCCAGAAGTGAAAGATCGCCTCGGGAGCACCGATACAGACGTTTTCATTGGGGTTCTAGTTGGTCCAGGACATGAGTTTGCCGTCCTGGCCTTTGCTCTGTATAGTATTGGCGCAGTTATTGTTCCTTTGTGTAAGTCTTTTTTGCCGTGGATTTGCCGTCCAGCGACACGGGTTTATAGCCCTAATACTTATTATGTTAATGCATCAGCACCGGCGCTCCATCCAGAGGAAGGAAAATACTTCTTAGGGCTATGCAACGCGGCACGAATAATCACGGTGCCGACCACAAAGGGAAAAGCTCAAGCCATCTCCGACCTCGCCGGCATTCCAGCCCTCGATATCAACGTGACAGAGTCAGTTAAGCCCGCCACCCTTCACTTCTCACTGCAACCGGAAGGAGAGCCCCTGATCAACGCGGACAAGGGATTCGTGCTTCTCTACACGTCCGGGACCACCGGTACCCCAAAGGGGGTACTCCATTCCCGGCGAGGGGCCGAAAGCGCATATGTCAGCAGCATCCAATTGTTCGGCCTGAAGCCAAGTGACACCTGGGCACATTATTCTCCGGTCCATTGGGCTGCTGGGTGGCTATTCCTGTTTCACACTATCCTGGCCGGTGCGTGTCTTGAGTTTTGTAGTTCAGTGTTTAGTCCGGATTGGCTGTTGGAACGATGGGAAAAGAAGGCTGGACCAGAGGACGGCTTAACTGCTGTGTTCCTTGTTCCTTCAGGGCTTCAAGCAGTCGGTGAGAAACTGGATGCGGTTCGGAAGGAAGGCCCACCAGGACGGTATGACCGTATTCTTCAAGGACTGAGAGGAATGCGATTGATCATCTCTGGAGGTGCTAGGGTGACGCCGGAGTTGAGGGATGGGTGGATGGAGCTGCGAGGCGGCAAGCCATTGATGGTAGCATACGGGATGTCCGAGGTGTTGATGTTCGTTGTTGCGGGTGACTGGGATTCGGAAGTGAATCTCCCTATGGTAAGAGCATACGTCCTTTGACCATTATTTTTGGAGTCTGTTGGCTGACATGATGAAACTAGGATTGCTGTGGTCGGATCTGTCGCTACGTTGATCTGAAAATCAATGAGGCTGGGGAAGTCTGTATCAAATCACCGGCGAGATTTAAGAGGTGAGAGATCCAACCCTAGACATATTTCAAATGACTGACATCTCGCATCGAAGGTATATATCGGAGAATCCCACTGTAATGAACGGTATTTTCGATGCCAACGGCTACTGGAAAACCGGAGATATGGGTAAGCTGGAAGGAGATTTGCTTTACGTCTTTGGCCGGGCTTCTCAGGACAGTAAGTGGGACTTTATTATGCATACGAAATGTCTAGGAACTGACAATTGTAGTCGTTCGATTCGCCGGGTGGAAGATCCTCGCACCGGAGGTCGAAAGCGAGCTGGCTAAACACCCACTTGTAGCAGATGCCATCGTCCTTGGCGTCCAAGATACCGCTGCGGGCCAGCTCGTGGCTGCGCTCGTGGTCATAAATGAGGATGTTTCCAAAGAAAGTAGTCTGGATCTCTCAGAAGCGCGCAGGTGGTTGGCAGTCGAGAGAGGAATGAATGCATATAAACTGCCAACGATTATGCGACTGGCCAAAAAGAACCAGGAGTTGCCAATGACGCTATCGGGGAAATACATCAAGCGAAAGGTCCGAGATATCTTCTTCAGCCAAGAAGAACTACAGAGTGATCGGGTCGAGGTGCATGACCTTTCGACTCAAGAACCAGACATCGGCGACCGCCCATTTGACTGGGCGGGGATTCAAGCCAAATGAGAAACAGCTGGTGGCGTAAACATGTTTAAATAGCGGTCGATATATACATAGCATAGAGCGATGATAGTAAATACGGTGCAGAAAGCAAATTCCACAGCAGACGTTGGATGACTTTCATATGAGCTGATGAAATGTATAGCCGGGCGAGATGTTACTGCGATGTGCCACACCCGGTAATGTAACTCTTAGTAGAAAAGAGAATCAAGAAAGAAAAGAAATTAAAAAGAGAGAGAGAGAGAGAGAGAAAGAGAAGAGAAGGGAACAAGAGGACAGGCTCCATGGATAACATAAGGGAATTTTTCAATGACAGGACAAAGCTTTAGTCATACTCCTTTGCTCGTCATCCATATCTATCGCCCAGGCCATGAGCCCTCGTAATCCCTTTCTACTGGCGTAGTCAACCTTGATATTAAGGGTCTGGGGATCGTCATATCTATAGCATCATGGCCAGAACATTAATCAAAATCCCCACAAAGCTAAAGGTTCACTCACGAGACCCAATTGTCCCCGCCCCATGTGAGGTGCTGCACAGAGCCAGCCTGGTCAAACACTGGCTTTGCTCCGCCAGATATAATATCCTTAATCTCTGTTTAAGCCAATATAGTTAGGGTGGTGATCCTGGACTGGAACTTTGTCACATACCGCTGTAAGACAAATAGCCTGCGGTCTTGACGCACCGTCCCTCAGCTCCTGGACCGATGTATGGACAGCCGGGCTGTGTGCATCTTCCGCTTGCCAATTGGACGCTGCGACCGTAGAAAGCGATCCCCAGAACAAGTTTATTTGGTGCTACACCAGCCTGGAGATAATTATCCACCCCTTTGCTGACATCGGTCAAGTTTGTATGCCCGGCAGCCTTCTTGTCAGTCTCCCATGTGCCGTGGATATCATACGCCATGACGTTGATCCTGTCCACAGCTTCAGATGCTCCCTTGAGATCATAGTTCCGCAGGTAATAAGAAGCCAGTGGTGCCGCAAATGTCATAACGTATTTGCTGTGGAATACCTGTCGCATCTCCTGCAAAAGTTTCGTGAAATTCTCCTTGTCGGTTGGGCGGCCACCTCTCTCTTCGGCTCCGGGGTATTCCCAATCGATATCAACACCGTCAAAGCCGTACTGATTTAGAAAGCTGAGTAAGTTCGTGATGAAAGTTTGACGGTTAGCAGGCGAAGATACCATGGTAGTAAATACCTCCCGGTATGGGCCGGGGTCAGTATGTGTCCATCCCTAGGGGACTGTCAGCAAGGAGTATGGGCGTTGAAACGAAGTCATACCCCAAGAGCAACTAAAACCTTCAGATTTGGGTTCTTCTTTTTAACATCCGTGACCTGCTTGAATAGGGCTTCTTCGGTATCCGGCATGGGTAGGACTCTGTAGGTAATTGGGGCGATAAATCCAAATGAGAAGATGAGATGCGTAAGCAATTCCACGGGGATTTCTTCCGGCTTCATCGTAGCACAGGGCTTGCCCATGTTCCATCCCTGCCAGTAACCCGCGATAACCTTACCAGTACTGTCTCCTGGATGGCCTGGTGTTGGTTGAGACATAGGGAGAGTACTCGGCGGTGTACTGGGCACAGCTGTCGGTTGAGTAGTCGACTGGGAAATTAATGGGGAGCTTGACATGCTACATGGCCGCTTACTTGACGAAGCAGGGACTTGGGTGGTTTGCTGTTGGCCTTGCTGGGAAGGATCCGGCTGATAACCTGACATATCCTTTGGCAGGGCACAGTTTGATCGGCATCCTGTACCACAATGCTCACTAGTCGTACCGCAGAAGCCCCATTTACTATATCGTTAGGGTTAATCATATGAAGGACACGGAATAATTCCTGAACATACGAACAGCAGGCATTTCCAGGGCAGGTAACACCTGGTACAGCAGCGTCTGGACCACACTCAGCTACACTATGCCCGACAGAGCGACTAAAGTTAAGTTGATGACGCAGGGCTTTCTCGTGGATGTTATGTATAATAGGGTTGCCAGCAACCTCTAGTACTCCGGGGAGTACGAAGAAAGTAATCAGACACTGTAGAAGGAGTGACATGACCAAACAAGGGTTCTCTCAAAGGAATGTAAGAAGTGAATCTTTTCCCCCTAAGTCCCAGACCTTCGAAGGGCTTTGAAGAGGCAATCTCAGCGTTGGGGTAGACAGCGACTGATATCCCTTTTATACGCTTTAATCAATGAATCCACGCAGGCAGAATGTGTTCTGTACCACTATGCTTGTAATGTCATCCCTTCATTTCGGGCTGCTGATGAAACCCTATGAGCGTCCAGGGAGTGCGGTAGGACACGAGGGAAGGGATCTGTTTGGCTTAAATTTCAAAATCCGCCAAAGGAATGAGTATCTCGCATCGTTATTGAGCCAATAACCGTTGGTAATACCGTAAATGGCAATCGATCCTTGTGAGACTGTTGACTAGGCAGTTGGCATCGCGTCTAACCCACATACAGCGCTTTAGCACCGCGGATAATTGGATCTCTAGCGTCTTGTGGCTAGGGTAGGTACAGTCATCACATATACTACAACAGTCAAATGATCCATACAGGCGGAGTGAAAAAGATTGCAGGGCCAGCTGTGTAACAAAGAGATTGGCAGGGTCGTTGATAGTCCCAGACAAACAAAGAGATGATGTGATATGTATCTCTTTATTCGGTTGCACGAAACAGAGCCTCGCTAGGTACGTGCAACTAGAATTTACCCTCGGCAATTAGCTTATACCTTCCATATATATGATCAACGCCATCTTGTTCCGTATGACACATGCGGCGACAACCTTTCGATCGGGCTCCCTCCCTATGAAGTCGCATGGACCCGTCCCTGGAAATCCAGAGATTCTTCAACCCTCGAAACCCCGCAAAGTATGGTGATACGAGCGTGTTCAGGATGCACCAATCCTCATACAATCCATCAGCCGGTGGTGCATGGACTTCAGTGTATGCTTGAGTAACCGAAGGTGAGGGTCAGGTGTATAAGTCATTCATTCCTTTTGTCAAGGGGGAGAAGGAAGATGCGAAAAAGCTGCATGTGAACTGTAACCTATGGTGGCTATCATTCCTCTTAGTTTTTGAAGTCTGGGCCTATCCGTTCTGGAGCCATAGTGCAACTCATCTGGTTTTATGAGAAGCGGGTATTGCGACCATTGATAACGGTGCAAGAGAGGCACCCTCGGTAGGAGTCCTATGCAGTATGGAGATATTGGACCGACTTGTAGACCACACCATAGATTCAACCGCTAACGCATGAGTAATGTGGTGATGCACAAGAAATCCGTCACATTGTCGGACTAACACAATATGATATTCTCGAGACCTTAATAAATGAACAGGGACATGGCAGTAGACAAGTAATACATGTGCCCTCGCAGGGGTACACATGATGGATTTCCTATTATTCATGGGTATAATACGCGACGTGAAGCTAGTTATTGGTATTGTCATAGCCGGTTTCCGGCATCAGCCATAATGTGGCTTCGGATATCTGAGCCCATTCATGTCAAGACACAATTTTCCATCATTCATTCCCTTCAACAATTATGCTCGGTCGGTGATTGTCATCCGCCACAGTAATCATATCAAGTCGTGACTGCATCCAACTAGGTATTCGACGTATATAGGAAACTGCATTTAGTAGCCACCGTAGCCACCACCCTGCTGGTAGCCACCCTGCTGGTAGCCACCACCCTGGTAGCTGTCGCCACCACCGTAACCACCGCCGTAACGAGAGCCACCACCGAAACCGCCACGGGATCCGCCGGAAGGTCTAGCGTTGGCCAGGTTGACCTTAATACGGCGACCATCAAGCCTATATCACACAACTCGATTAGACGACTCATGACTTAAGGCAACCGGTGTAATGAAAGGCTTACTCTTGTTCGTTAAGCCCATTAATGGCAGCCTCAGCTTCCTGTTCACTGGAGAAGGTGACGAAGCCAAATCCTCTGCTGCGGCCGGTATCGCGATCTCTCATGACAATCTAATGATTTTGACTTAGCGGCAAGGGACTTCACAAAAAGAGCGAAAGAGCAAAAAAGAATCCATAAATAGGATCGCGAAGGCCAACTTACCGAGTCGGTAACCGCGCCAAAGTCGGAGAAAGCATGACGGAGAGTGTCATCAGTGGTGTTCCACGAAAGGTTTCTTTGGATTTGAATTCAATAAGTAAGACAACATTCCATATGTGATTGTTTGATTAAGAGATTTTTTTTTTTTTCTTCATCTCTTTTCATGAGGTGTTTTTATTTTTCTGAATTCAAGAACTAACCCGACGTAAACTTTCGACATGGTGAAGGATTTTTGATTGAGTACGAAAGTACTTTTGTTTTGATTGTGGTTTTGGGTGGATGGAAAGAAAGAAGAAGAAGGAGAAGAAACTCGGTGGTAGCGGGGGAGGCAAAAACAGAATTTTATTTAGCAAAGTGGATAAGGGCGGCTAGTGTATGGGATTGGAGGGGTGGCCGATTATTTATACGGGTGAGAGAAAAGACAGACGACACGTATCAACCCGTGATGAGATCATCCCAGGTCACGTTGGGCATTCCTGCAGGGTGAAAAAAAAATACCCCGCGCACATCCTGACTCAGCCTAGGGATTTGTGTACATAATTTGACCAGGAGCACGTGCTGCGGTGCGTCAATGACTCTATTTTCAAACAGAACACGTTCTCGCAAAGAAGCTCCAAACATAATTAATCATCTTCTAATTACACTACCATGAAACACTATATACAATGCATAGCCCCTACTGAGTCCCAGCAAATTGTCGGTACGCCTGAATAATCGCTTCCCATCCGCCAGGATGATTGTACTCGATAGGATTCGATTCATCGTCCAGTACCATGACGTCGGTCTTCCGGGTGCTGATTGAATACCACACGAGGTTGTTGGGAGAGTTTGTTACGCGCATCATGTTGGTTTGACACGAGCCGTTGCACTGATGGCTATAAGTCCCATCCCAGGGCCCGTTGAAGAATGCCCATGCGGCGGAGTTATACAGAAGGATATCCGACCCACCGTCCACATTGGTTGCAAGCGAGGTACGGCACTTCTGGTCACCTTGGTCGCACCAAGCGAAGTCTGGGTCACCGAACTCGGATTCAGCTGTCCATGGAGCAGGAGCAGCCTGTGTGGCTCCATCCCCTTGCATGTATGGGGACTCCGACTGAAGAAGGCCCGCGTAGACATTCTGTGCGTTATGGAGGTTGTAGTTATACAACCAATTATGCTCAGACCCGGTACCAGTAAGCCAGGTTCCCTGGGTGGCCTCGACCAGAATACCACGGCCCGTGGAGATGATCGTGATGGGCCCACCGTCAAGGTTATGATCAGCCGTCCAGCCCCAGAAATTCTCAATATACGCGGACGAGGTCTTTGTCAGATGGAGGACCATGAATGCCGCCATACACTGAGAGGTATCCTGGTTGGTGCAGCTGTTGGCAATAGTGGTCTCTGCAGTACCTCCTACGGTGGCCATCGTGTTCCATAATGCCACATCGCCGGGTGCACTGCCTGCCATGTTAATCTCGAGAATCTTCGCGCCCGGAAGAATCTCGGCCACACTGAATCTCATGTTTTGAATTTCCGCCACACCCACGTCCCCCTCTTCTCCAATCTGCACAACCGCCTTAGGATTGTCCGCATTTTTGAAGGCATCTCCCGCTCCGGTAATCACTGCCCAGGCCTCGCCCACGATACGAGAGCCTGGAGGAATGAAAAGTGTATCCTTGACGAGATATACGCCGTATGGAAAATAGGTAATCTTACAGTTTGCTGCATTGTCCGCCAAAATAGCGTTCAGGGACGCGCTATCGTCGGTGGAACCGTCTCCCTTGACAGAGTAGCCGTCTACAGCCTTGACATTGATGATCTGATTACTACTGTATTCGGCGTAGGTTGGTTGCGCCCTGGTGAAGTACTTGTTATTCGCAAGCAGTACGTTCGGGCGTGAGGTACTAAAGCTGGTTCCGCTCTCGTACTGGCCGGGGGTAACATTTCCCCAGACCCAGGTGTCGACGTGCGAGACAGCGCCCATTTTGACACTGCCTTTGCTATCAACAGCGATGGCATTGCTGTTATCATGCGACAGGTTCTGAATCAGGATCTGACTATTGCGGTTCCCACTGTCGTTGGATGAGTCATGGAATCTAACGACCGGTCCAGAGTTGATAGAAGATGAGTCGAGCAGCACGAGACTACCCAGACTGTTGCTAGTCATATTGATGCCGGTGCCACAGGTGTCAAATGTTGCTCCTTGTAGTAGAACAGTGTGGCCACCAGCTGCTTCGAATGCCGTCGTGCAGTATTTAAATGAGATGTTCTTGAAGTTGACTTGTTGGTTAGAGTTCTTGATACCCACAGCACCGCCGGTGATTTGCTACTTGAGTCAGTATGGGTCCGACCAAGCCTCAAATCTGCAAACATACCACATCGGTGACGGCAATTGTCGAACCAGCCTTGATGTATATGCCGGTGTGGCCCGTGGAGCTGGTCGGCATGTCAATCTGGACGTTGGTCAAGCCAGAGCCCTGCGCTACACCCCACTGCAGCGCCGTGATCTTTGTGTCAGCACTGAGAGCCGTGGTGTCCAGCACCACATTTCTCATCAGGGTCATGAAACTGGTTTCCGGGTTTCCATTGCCCGAATCATACCCCATCACCAAGGTATCCCCGTCAAAATTCGGCGCCGCCTTCAGCACGGGAGGATTTAGCGGGTCTCCGGTAACAATGGTGCCCACGCGTAGTTCGAGTGTACTACCCAATTGATAGGTTCCTCCGGGGAGGAAGACCTCTGCAGGATAACGAGTGACCCCGCTGCTTTTCCGACTGCCACCTGAACCGTTATCGTTGATGGCGCGTTGTAAAGTCGATGTCTGGTTACCAGACCCATCATTGCTGACACCGTAATTCAGGACATTGCGCCACACAGGATAGTTCGTATTGTTCACATTGGGGGCATAACCACGAGCATTTCCGCTGTGATCTTGATCAGCGAGCCAGTAGCGTGTAGGAGAGCTTTTAATCGGGCCTGTGCATGACCCGCTGGCTGCGACAATTATACTGTCACTGCTACTTTGAATTTCCGCGGATGTCACCTCCGTCGGTGTTAACTGAGACACTTGGCCAATGGACGACGATATTGCTGCGAGCGTTGAAGGAATGACGGCAGCGGAAGAGAAGGCGACTGTGCTGGCCAGCCCGACGAGGGAGAGGAAGTCGCGCATGCTCGGAAACGAATGACTACTATGGCTACAAATCAGACAATTCAAAGGAAAAGAAAAAGGAACGGACGGGTGTAGTATCCCGAAGTGCAAAAATTGACCTACAGCTGAGACGCGCCATGGCGTCTCCTATATATGTATGACCCGCCGCATCTGGGCTGTCACAATCTCGGCCGTCAACATTCGACAAACCAGACGAGCGGGGGCCATTTGAATGCAAGGTCTAGACTGATGGCAATTGTGCCTGGGCTCGAGGTACTTCTAAACATTCCGGAATACCGCTAGTCTATTCGCCGTCCAAGGAGGGAAGTGGAGCAGCTTGGGGCTGCAAGTCTGGGATATCTTCTGCAGAGTCTGAATCGTGATAAACTCACATGGCTGCAGAAAGTGGTACTGTAAGTAGCAACTCGGTAAGTGAGAGTAAGAGAGTAAGAGATCGTCCCCTCTAATTTCCTTTTCTTGCAAGGGATTTCGCTAGTTTTCCCAATTGGATCTGGTGAGATGCAGGATCAACTTTAGGGCTTACTCGATGGGCCAATAAGGACCGTCCCGCACCCACGCGATGTTTGAATTATTGATTGCCCCTTTTGCTTCATTCATTAATATTAGGGCACGATCAGACTAAGAACAGTTAGCCACCCTGTTCTACTTACTCTGTACCGAGTGTCATCAGGCAAATACCCTTTTGGGCAACTGGTGTTGACTGCCCAGAGAAGTATCATGTATGTACTTGGACCATGTTCTTCCGAAGATCTGTTTCATTTTCTTGCGCTGGATCTCAGAAGAGATAAGAAATTCATGGAGCGCGAAAGCTTGATGCGGTCGAAACGAATCTCCTTTAGCTCGTTTTATATTTCTTTAGTCTTATTCGAATTTTTATTTTATTCTATTTTTTATGTTTATCTTGTGCCTGGAAGCGAATCGTGCTTGATGATACTTTCAACGATAAAGGTAATTTGGCGTATTATAGATCCTGTCCAATGTGCCGTTTGCACTACGGATCTCTAGCACAAGAACTCCAATGCTGAACAAAAAGGATTGTTGTCCCAGAAGCGTGGGTATGCCACTCTCTCTATATATAACAAAAACATCGGAAGCGTACGACAGTTACTTATACGACTTCCACCGCGATTGACCAGCTGGCCCCAGTAAAAATGTCCCTTACGGTTTGAAGATCACGAACATCAGCCACGCGGAGGCACCTCTTATTGTCTCTTGGTTACGTCCTATCTGGACGTAAAATAACACTTCCATCTTTGCGATTTTATAATGGTTACCTTGGGAGGCCGTGATAGCCTCACCGTGCGTACATACAACCGCTCAAACCCTCCGTATGATCCTACTTTTCTAGCTTCATGTTCCAGGTTATGCCAGGCGGAATTTGTTAGACATACACAATATTATTGTCATGTTTATGAATGCCATTAACACCAAAGAGGGGGGAGGAACACAGAGTACGAATACAACCGCCCGCAAGCTGTACTTGCATAATTCATGCATATAAGCTCTCAACTCTATCCCCGCGTGGGTCTACATAACAATATACCCCATTTTCTACTTCAAGCATAGTAAGTTTCAGAAACAAAGATCCCCTCTCATCGTAGCCAATGTACAAAGCAATTCATACTAGACGATGTAACCATAATCTGCACTGCCGTGAGATTTCTCACCCTCAATTCCCGAAGTAGGACAATGATCGACACGCGCCGCCCGATAATATTGTAAACAACCCTTGCATGCCTTCTATAGCAGCCGACCAAGTTCCAGGCCCGATTCAGTCCAAGGGGGTCCAAAAATGCAGGCAGATTGGATCGTGCAGCGGCCTATATCTATGCCATTTTCTCTGTTACTTCATTTATCAACCTGTAAATATTGCCCAGCAACGTTAATCTGGCCAAAATGAAGCTTCAATCATTGGTCGCGCTTCTGGGGGGTGCCCATCTAGCCCTAGCCTGGCTTCCCACCGACCAAGGCCGGAGTCTCTCGACCTTCACCAATACCCAGACCACAAAGATCCGTGGCGTCAATCTGGGGTCCCATTTCATCATGGAGAAATGGATGGCCAGTACCGAATGGTCCAGTTTGGGCTGCGACGACTACAAGAGCGAGTGGGATTGCGTGAAAGGCATCGGACAGGACGCGGCCAATGCAGCTTTCAAGAAACATTGGCAGACGTGGATCACTAAGGATGATATTACTCGGATGGTATCCTATGGACTTAACACGATCCGCGTATGTAATACAGTCATGATAACTTTAACAAAATCCTCAAATATCTGACACAACCTACAGATCCCAGTCGGCTTCTGGATGCACGAAGAGCTAATCAATGACAACGAGTACTACCCACGCAACAACGCGATCGAGGATCTGACCAACGTCTGCCAATGGGCGTCCGACGCTGATATGTATATCATTATTGATCTCCACGGGCTGCCGGGCGCTCAGGAGCCTAACCAACCTTTTACCGGTCGGGTAGGGTTGCCTGATAAATCCATTTCACTCTAGACACATCCTAGTTAAGCTTACCTTGATTTGTATACAGTACGTAGACCCGCCACAATTTTACCAAAGCGACGAAAACGCCGAACGAGCATACAAGTTCTACGAATGGATACTCGAGCAAATCCACACCAATCGCTCTGCATTCAAAAATGTGGGCGCCCTGGAACTTGTCAACGAGCCTCTCCAGAACACGGAGAATGGTGACACAAACTGGATGGTCGAGCATTTCTATCCGACCGCTATTGATCGCATTCGGGCCAAAGAATCGGACCTGGGTGTTTCAGGTGCTGATGCGTTGCATGTTACTGTCATGGTATGTTTCCTCTTTATTATACTATTCCATGGGAAAATTAACCAAGGACATAGGACGACAAATGGGACTCAGGTGGTAATCCCACTCGCTCTCTTAACGACACTCAAAAGAAGAATCTCCTGTTCGACGATCACAATTATGAGATCTATCTGGTTCGCAACGCCAAGACAATAGACGATATGATTACGGATGCATGCGGTGATAACCGCACGTCCAGTGTTAGTCCTAAGATTGTGGGAGAGTGGAGCTTGGCGTTTGATAATACAGGCGACAACTTCCTGCCCATGACCGGGGATCATGCAAAGTCGTACTCGAAGTGGTTCTCGGCGCAGCAGAGACGGTATGAGGCGCTTGATGGGTGGGTCTTTTGGTCGTGGAAGACCGACGACTTGCCTAATGTTGAGCAGTGGAATTATCAGAGTATGCTTATATCTTACCATTCATGGAGTGTGACAGGGCTAACTGGAATTATCACAGAGGCTGTTGACGCGGGTATCATTGACAAGGATTTGAATGTGCAGTATGATCAAAATCCGTGCTAGTCCTGGACGGTCCTGGTACGATATGGATGAATATCCCTGGGCGAACCAATTACCTTCAGGTTACGTCCAATCTAGGTATTGGGAGCTAGCGATCGTGGAGTGTGCGTTCGTTATAGACTTTCCTAAACGCGTCATGTGAACAGGGCTAATACGGAATGAACCACAAAGATTGGATTGTAGAGCGAACTTTAGGAATATGACGACTTCAAACATGACAATATGGCATGAAAGGGCAAACGGAGTATCAAATCTTCTACCCTCGTAGTCAATCAGTCTTGTCCTTAGCAAACCGCCCAGTAAAGGCCCGAATGCGCTTCCCCCAGATATATATCGGGAGGCCCATCAGACCGAGAAAGCCCGTGAGAGCGGCAAACGTATTAAAGGTGCCATCGTAACCATGCAAATCAACGAAAGGAGCGGTACCATAACTTGTTCCAAAGGAAATAATACCTCTGAAGGCACAGACGATCACCAAAATTGGGCCCGCACGCGCCGGGTAGCTGTCCAGTAGGTACGTGATGGTAACAATATTGACTCCAACGAAGCAGAAATAATAAGCTGCTACAGCCCAGGCGTACACAAACCAGTGGTAATCATATGGATGGGCTGCGCCTTCACCGTATAAAGAACTTGTAAACGTGCCCACCACGGCTGGCAATATGAGTGGAATCAGACGAGTCTCAGGCTCGTGAAGACCGTTATTGCGCTTTGCGCGGAATTTCACTAGCCAGTCTGAGCCATGACCTAGTAAAGGGAGGGCGACAACGGCGACCAAGATCTGCCCACAATTGATGTAGCTAGCACTGCTATTGGGCCAGTTGTAGGGCGCACCGGAGAGTATGGTGCTGTATGTCGTGCCAATGGCTACGTTAACACCAATTACTAGGCCGTTGAGGAGGAGCGCCCAAAGTACGTTCGGGAAAAGGAGAAGTTCTGCGGTTTGCTGTGTATAATATCAAGGTTACTATGTTGCAGAGGCGCTAGCGTGGAGGATGATACACATACCCTGAGCACTTCCCATATTTTGAACCACTCCGGCTTGCCAATCCACAGGCGTAAGTCAGACTTAAATGTTCGCGGAGTGTAGTTGACAAAATCTAGCTCTGGGCGCTCCGTGCAAGCTGCTGTCTCTGGATGATTTGGCTTGCCGTCGTTAAAGCCCTCCATGGGCATCTCATCACCTGACGAGGACTCTTCTTGATACGCCGACAAAGATCGCTCGTATTTGGTTTCGGGCAATAGAAAGAATGTAAGAACACATAGAGCGCCGGCTAATACGGCACCAAGACCATACCACCATTGGGGGGTGATGGCCTCCGCAATAGGGCTGGCGAACAGGACCCACACGGTAGTAAGGCAGACCTGAATTGCTTGTTGACCCATGAGAGCCTTACTTCGTTCGTGAAGAAAGAATATCTCCTATGCATATCCAAAACAGTATCAGAGAGTGATGTTACTTACAAAAATATATGGAGTAGTGAAAAAGGGGCTTCACTCACCTGTGAAATCATGGGGACAATCGACTCACTCTGACCGGCAGCTAGGCCAACCAGGATTCTTGCGCCAAAGTGCCACTCATAGGTCTTTGCAGTTGCACATAAAATAGCTCCGACCGCAAGAATAGCAGTGGAGACTAGCATAACAACACGGCGCCCAACGCCAATAGCCAGAGGCATCCCAATCAAATTCCCGATCCCCCTGGATAGCAGACACGTTAGACATCCATTCGCAAGAAGGGATCTAGGTGTATACTTGAATGGCAAGGTATTCCATACATGAACAGGGTTGGGTAGGTCATCAAGTAAGTGATTCCATTATATGATACCCCCGCGGCCTCATATTTAGGAATGTAGAAGCCTAGCAAGCCGCCAAATCCCGACACAAGAGAAAGACCGAGGCATGAGACTGGTTTGACATTAGTAGGTAGACATTGATGTCCAATGGAAGTAGGCAGCCTACATATTGATATAACGACGAGGATGGTAATCTTGCGAAGCATGGAAAGATTCAATGGGTCTAGAAGATTGAGCTAGTCAGACAGTGCTATAGATCAGAAAGATTCAGACGACTCACCCTGAGGATCGGCTGTCGGAGTCGGGATGTAGACGATACTGCCTTCGGTCAATTTCACCGTGCCCATCACCCTGGTAGCCTGGTGTGACTTCATTTCGCCAGTGCTAACTGCCTCAATGTCCTCCACATGACCAACAGAGCTTTTATCTTTCTGAGACATGGTGACTACAAGATGTCCTAAAGGACTCTTTAGTCTAGGGTCAATCACCCAAGTATAGCAGAAAAGGTAGGAAGGGGGGGGTTTAAGGGGGGGGGGGGTGAAGGGGAAATGCAACAGCCCCGGATTCTGTAGTGGAGAGCTCACTATGTGTGAACAGTGCTCAATGTTTATATGCAAACTGTAACAACTGCCATGCATACAAAGGTGAAATAAGGTTGACGAATTCCTGCCACGACGACCAGCAGCTACCCCGGGCCCCCCACACTTTCCGGGGGTTTAATCCTAGAGACCCCGCCGAAGCTGTCTTGGAAATGTTCGGCCACTAGAGTTGCCCCCTCGCTGTGCTCCGAGGGAGGCAAATGCTATTTGGTACTAATCCCTCCGAGGTTGTCGATCACTCTAGACTCTCTCTTGCCCTCTCTGATATCTTGTCTTGAGTACCGAAACGCGTATTGTCAATTATTCAATTAGGTGTTTGAAGCTATTCACCCCAGGTATCTCGACCATGCGTTTAAGGAAGAGAAACCGCTCGTAAGACCATGCCGCTATAGTCGAATAGAATTGAGTTTATTAGGGTATATAATATTGCATTATGAAAGCAACAATAACTATGTGATCTTCAACGTAGATGAGGTATTCATGGTAAACCATAACATTGTAACTATCAATTCTCAAACACTAGTACATAAAATATCAATTACATTCAGTACGGCTTGACTCCCGCCAGTTTGAGCACCGTGTCGGTCAACACGGGCTTCTCGAATGGCTCACTTCGGTCCTTTGGGCACACCTTGCCATCTCTCATGGGCTTTTCTGCCGCAGGACGAATGTTGCTATAGTTTCAATTGGTTAGCTATCCATCATGTCGTTCAATATCGGAGAAAACTCACCAATGGGGCCAGTGAGTAGTGCCCATATAGTTCTCGAAGCAGGTCTTCTTCAACTCCAGTGCCTTCTCGGTGGCAAAACGTCTGGGAGTCATGCAAATGTACTGGGCGTGACGGATCTGATTGGCCTCGGGGAAGCAAGCATAATGGAGCGATCGGGAATCCCAGAGGACAAAATCACCAGGTCCCAGGTTGACTTTGATGAGCTCGCACCCCCGCTCCTCAAACCACTTAACATCCTTCTCATGGAAAAGGAAGAGGTCCATGTACTTCAGCTCCGGGGGTGGGGCATCCTCGTGGTCATACTGCTCTCGCTTCTGAGCGAAGAACTCGTCGAAGAGCTTGGCGGATCCCTTCATTAGCATTAGACCACCATCCTTGGGTCCATTGGGGGCAAAGTTAATAAGGCCTTGAACAGCTTGCATCCTGAAAGAGTATTAGCATACACACAACGTGAAGACTGGGTAAGATACGAACCCCTTCCGATTCGGGTTCTGATCACAGTGTGGCCATGGGCTCCAGTTGAGATCCTTTCGGCGCGGGAGGGAGATATTGATACCATCAAAGGAGCAAAGCAACTCCTTCGTTTCCCATAGCTTTTCGAAGATCTCAATGATAGCCGGCTCGGTACGTGCTTCCCAGACACTCTTCTCATGAGTAGAGCCGTAAGCAAAATACATTCTGGTAATGAACATGATTGATTAGGTACTTTCCCCGGGTCCGTCCGAGATCGTGGAATGCTTACCCTCCCTTGAAGCTCACTGGCAGATGCTCTGCGGTCCAGGTGCTCTCATCGTTCTCATCAAAGCCAAGCTCGAAGTTCTTCAACCATTCAATCTGCTTATCGGCATAGTATTTGGCACGCTCCGGACTGATTACATTTTTCAGAACAACACAACCATTGCGGTGAAATTCATCACGCCAATCACCGTATGTCCGGCCGCTGAAATCAACCAAGTCCTTGATGGTGAAGGACTGTTGGGTTGCTTCGGCGATTTCTTGAATCTCGGTAGTGGTCGACATGGTTCAGAGATTCTCTGTCAAGGTTCACAATATGTGGTATTCGATACTGCTCCGAGGACTGTGGTGCATTTGCTGGTTCAATTTGACGGGGCATTTTGAGAACACTTAAGTAACTGAGCACTTAACCTGTTACCATGCTAGCAATCATTGAAGTGCTCCTTCGGCGCAGGGTGCGGGGACAAGCGCCGAGCACGTCGGGGGGCAGTCTTGCTAATCCATGGCTCGTTTTCAGCCCTTGGATGTGGGTGATCTTGTTGGTCTCGGCCTGCTCCGAGACGCTCGGAGGCTAAATTAACGCTCGGCGGGTTTTGACTACGTGACCATTACTGACCCACTACCATATTCCACCGAACTTTACCCACAACTGTGTCCGTAGCGCCCGAATGGGTAGTACATTGTTGATCGTGATCGAATATTGTTGACCCTAATATTGGTAGCAGTACGCGACCGATACAATCAGACCTATCCTATGAAGGCACGTTTCACAACAGGTAGACAAGGCCTGGCGTCATCTTGTTGCTCTTGACAGTTGCAGGACTCTGTGATATCCCTTACTTACACCACGCGCTTCCTATTGCTATGAATTCCTTGATGTTCCTCTGTCAATGCTTTTGACTACGGTGCTTCCCCTGTTCCTGTAATCCTTTCCGTAGGGTCATCAGCTCTGGTGGGCTTGGTAAACTATATACATTCATATTATTCTATCTTGAACCCAAACATAAAGCCCGACGTGACACATAGAAGCGCAAGACCAGACTATGGCGCACGATTGAGAGCACCAATTGTCCCCGAAGGCATACTGCTGTTCATTGACTGGCACGTGGTAGAAGGTGGAGGTGCCCTAACTGCGAGGCCCTAAACGTCTTGTTGATAACTATTCCCTGTCCCCCATAGTGAACGACAAATCAGCCCGTGTGCTTTAAAATCTGCAAGTGAACCGTGGGCCTTTTACCGCCTGTTGTTGCTCGAGCTTGCCGTAGCTCCTTAGACTTAGTGTAGGGCAGATAGAATGGGCCGCATATCAAGACTGTTAGTGAGGTCTGAATAGCAAGTCTGGTGAGCGACGTGGATGGATACATGTTAAAAGGGCGTGGGGAAGTGCAAATGATACTAGTACTCGTCATCCCTTGGCGAGCGACAGCGATCGTCGAGGGTTTATATTGAGGCTGTTCGTAGGCGATCCATAAGGAGAGAAAGTGTATGTATCAGTGACCTAGCCTAGCCTTGCCAAGAGCTTAGGAGCGGCAGCAAGCACCAGACTGACACTCATAGTCGTCTCTCAAAAAAGTTATCCACAAGATATCGCATGCCTCTTGAGATGAAGCGCACCGATTGGACCCGAGCCATCTTCGGCAAATGTGGAGGACTCTTATCCGAGGTCATTTGCCGCAACCAACGCTAGGGTTAATTCCTAGCGAGATCGGCATTCGAGCCATCTCCTCGCTTTCATGACCATAGCTCCTAGCCAAGATCCTGCGACAGTTTCCCCCGCATTCTACTCTAATCCCCCGCTTTCCTGGTGGGGATTCCAATCGTGAACCGGGGATTACCAAGACGTGCATTGCCGTTGCTCTCGTCTCTATCGTCATATCGCGTATCCACGCGTATGTGCAGCCATGGTCACACGGATTGCTTCTTCATGCCAATGCTAATGCTTGCTACTGCCTAGTCAGTATCAGAAGTAGGCCACCAATATGCCTTGTACATTCATTGTCACTTCTAGGATACGGCGCAAAGATTCATGATGGACCGACCTCCCGCGGCCAAGCGGCCCCGGTTGTCCATGGCTTGTAACATTTGTCGGCAGCGAAAAGTAAAATGCGATGCTGAATATCCAAAATGTCGCAATTGTCGAACACGTAACCAGATTTGCGTAACGACTGATCCCCAACGCCCTGGAGTACCAGGAGTGAGAGAGTGGCTTGACATACCTGAGAAGATCAATGGAAACGGAGTTGCGCAATGCGACGGATTACACAAAGCCATAGCCTGTCGACAAAATGATCAAAACTCGCCGCCGAATACGTCGCCTCAGCAGCAACCCCAGTCGCAAGAGGCTCAACAGCACTCTCCGTCTGTGGAGGACAACCCGGCCGATGAAAAGCTCAACGAACTTTCTCCAGTTCATCAGCCCTTCGATACATCCCTCAATGTGGAGCGAGGAACGAACCGGATGAAAGTTCTGGGTGGCAGCAGCTCGCAATGCCTCGCGAAATCCTTAGACATTTATTTTGAAGCTGCACGGCTAAAGCCAGTGTCAGCTTCTTTTAGTCACGGCATGAGGCATGCGGAGGAGCTGGATATGCCATTGGCCCTATCTTTACCACCCCTGCCCGCTCGGGATTGTCGGGATCGATATACGTCTATATACCTCGCCCGAATCCACCCTACCTATCCTATCTTTTCACCTCACGCGTTTCGCGAAAGTATGGAGCAGCTAGCCACAGTTGCCGATTACAAGCGCCTCTCACGAGACAGCGTTCCGGTACTCGTGCTTGTATATCTTGTCATAGGTTTGGGGTCGGATGAAGAGGCCCAAAGTGTGACAGAAGCTGGCGAGAAATATCTTCAAGCTGCGGCTGGGCTCGTATCGCATCTCATCGCAATACCATATCTGCCCACGGTGCAGGCCCTGCTCCTTCTGACGCTGATGTATAGAGGTCGCAATCAGGAGGGTCTGGCGTGGCAAACCCTGGGTATGGCGATCCGTATCGCATATACGCTGGGAATCCACCGACCCCATACAGGACACACGCCTCCCACATCCCAGAACTCACACGATGAAAGACACCTTCCCACTCAGATATGGGCTGTTTGCTGCTGCTTGGAGAGAATGATGCAGCTCGGGTGCGGTCGCCCATCCTCCATTAATACCGAACACGTCAATCCCGTCGGCAGTTTGACTTGTCATTCACCGTACCTGCAGTGGAATCTGGGGCTTGCTGAATACCAGGGAAGTATCAGCCAGCATATCTACAACTACCATCCTGGCTCGAGAAATGTGCGACAGATACTCCTGGATACTGCCCGACTGGACCGGCTGTTACTCTCATGGGCCAATGTCATTCCCCCCGAGCTGCGACCAGGAAACGATATTTTCTGTCCTGAGGAGGAATACCATATGGCCGCATACCTATCTATACAATTCCACGAAACTCTTATTGCTCTGCACCGTGCGGCGCTAATAGCCCCAACAGCGAACTTTGATGCCGAAATAGAGAAACACTGCTCCGATGAACCATCAAAATTCAGATTGCGCAATGGAGAATCAATTTGTGTGAACAGTGCCCGTTCAATCGCTAAGCTGAGCATCGAGCTCTCCGAGAGAGGGACGGCTTCACGCTTGATTCCCGTTGGGTCCTCCTTATTAGCATGTATTGTCCTCGCTATTTATCTGATGAAGAACCCGAAGTCCCGCCTCCAGACGATGGACCTTGAGGTGAGAACGGTTGTTACACTATCTACAGGACTTCCTGCTAACGATGGCTAGCTCCTAAAACTATGTCTCGAGAACTGCAGTCAGCAGCTCGCCCGCTGTAATTCGGATCCCCGATTCATGGAGGGTATGTTCTCAGTCAGATAATATCTCTCCACCCACTATATGCACACTAACCTCATCCTCATCCATTGAATAGGTCTAGCTGCCATGTACGACCAGATAGTGACCCACCAACGTGTTTCCTCAACATCTACAGAAAGAAGGCACGCGTTAGCCACAACAAATCAATCAGATCAACCTCCACAGAAAGCCTCGATATGGCCACTACAGAATAATAATCTACCGCATACCTCGAATATTGCCATACCCCATAACGCCTCAAGTTATCCAATACCCAATAACTTCCTAACTCCTGCAACGTACGACGATAGTGCTCCGCAAATTAACACCGTGGGACATGTATCATGTAATGAAGAACATATTGTTTCACGTCCACCAGAGAATGCTCAGAGGGGTCCTCTGTTTGATTATTTACCAGCAGCGGGCAAGGATCAGCCTCACCATCAGCAGGGCGATTCAACCCTTCATGATACTGGCTCTTTGATCGACCACCTGGCCTCTTCTGGTGATGGCTCGAATGAGGTAGACCGACTATTTCCTTTTGAGGGATATAATGTAGAGGATTTGTGGAATTGGATGCTGTACTTCGACGGACCACAGCCTGCATAGACCTATATATTTACACTAAGATGTTATGTATAAACACTTCTCAATTTTTAGATTTCATTATAATGTTCAGACTATCAACCTTCATGTCGTAGTCTACGTCAATCGAGGCACGCAGTCCACAATCGCGAGGAGAAGATTCAGAAAGCATATTCTCAGCGGTTCACCTAGTGATATGGACGAAGTCACCAGTAATACTAATAGTGTTTTCTATGAACATCGTATTAACTACCATGAACCTGCAAACCGTCCAGCGGGCTACCCAGAGTTATGTAGCGCTGTGCTTCGTAAACAGTAGCTTTTCCCAAAATCAACCTTGATAATCTTAAGCGTCCTCATTTGAAATGCAAGCAGTTGCTCCGTCAAAGAAATATCAACGGGCCATCGGATGCGCGAAAGTAATACCTACAATTCCACAACCAAATATACATTCGATCAAACCAGAACGAGTGACAAAACTATGTACTAGAACTCTCTTACCACGCTTACTCGCGAAGTAGAATTTGAACCCCTCCACCAGTCTATGCCTCTTGCTTGATATACGGAATACCCGTAAGCCGGAACGCACGCTCACCAAGCACCGGATCCTCAACGGGCACCTCACGAGCCTTAGGACAAGGAGCACCATCGCGCATGGCAATATTAGTAGGAGCGACGTGCTGGGCATTCGGCCAATGCGTAGTACCGAGACGCTCTAAATACGACATTAGCACCGCTGCGCTCTAACGAGGTTGAAATATACGGTCGAACATACTTTCAAATGCCTCTTTCTTCTTAATCAAATCCGCCTGTGAGGCTTCGGCAACCGGCATGTAGCACGTGTAGACTGCCAGGCGATCATTCTTGCCGCTGGGCGGAACATTGTAATGTGGGGTTCGGCTGTCCCAGACGATCAAGTCTCCTGGCTCGACGCAGACTTTTTCCCATTCCAATCCGTGATCTTTCAGCCATTTCATGCCGTTCTCGGTGAACCCGAACCACTCTTTAGTCCAGGCGGGGATACGTGGCTCATTGGCCATCTCGCGGTGGAATTGCTCGGAGAATTTGTGTCCACCTTTGCATACGATGAGGCCTCCATCGTCGGGTCCACCGGGGTTGAGGTTCACTAAGCCCTGAAGACCTGAGGTATGGGTAAAGGGTCAGTCAGATGTATGATGATTAGGTAAGGTGGTTAGTGAGATACGTACAGCGGAAGCCTGGGGATTCAGGGTCTTGGTCCTGGTGTGGCCAGGGTTTGCTGGATACTGTCAGCATTTGTTTCTTCCGGGTGTCATATTTGCTCACTTTTCGGGGAAGTCACCACGTCTGTAAAAAAATGTAGCACATTAGTTCTAGTATTCGAAGGCTTCAATGAATGCGTTGACCAGCTTAGAACCTACCCTGGGAACTGAACATTGACCACATCAAACGACACAATCAAGTCCGAATCATCATATACCTTCTCAAAAGCCTCCACTACACCAGGCTCTGCCCGGATATCCCATACCCATTTCTCATGGGTAACACCATAGCTGAGAATCATACCTTTCTCATTGATCACAGGAAGCATAGCCCGTTTCACGGTGGAGGGGTCATCGCGCTTGTAACCCAAGTCACTGCGAAGTATTAGCATACGGAAACACGGGATGAAACGGAGTTCCCAATGGGGAAAACATACAAGCCTTCAAGATAACCATAGAAAGAATCTGCGTATTTCTTGGCTCGTTCTAATGGAATGGCGCCCTTGATCACGGCGTAGCCGTCTCTATTTAGAGCATCGCGGAAGTCACCATAGTTGGTTGGCTTTCCGTCAAGCACCATTCGGCCTTTGGGCTGATTGAGAGTGACTGTCTCTTGTACAGTGGTTGTTGTAGACATTGTGTCTATTGTTTACAGTAGTAAGTCACAGATGGATGTTGTAGTTCTGGTAGGTAGCTCAGTCATCGACAAGAGACTAGTGATGCTTATCACAATCGCTGCATTGCAGAGCCTTTTCTATCTAACCTAGGTGGCACCTGAGTGTGTGTAGCTAGGTGCATCTCGGCGCAAAAGGTGCGTTCCGAACGCCTTCCGAGCCTTACAAGGACCAACCTCATGATCATCTGTTTCATTTCCTATCAACATTCTCGGGGCAGACCCAGTGTGGGCCGCCGACTCCAGCCCTTCGGGGTCCACCGAGCCCTCGCCGAGGGATGGTCCCCCGCGCAATTAATGATTACGCTCCATAGGGACAATTAGAGCACAACCAACTAGCATAAAGATTGACGCTTAGTCTTTCTACGGCGGGGGAGTCTGTATACTGTACGATATTTGTGAAAGTCATTAGTAGAAAGATGAGTCCATTCAAGATAATCATCGTCGGCGGAGGAATAGCCGGTCTATCTGCCGTAGGTTCCTTTCTGCTTACTAGGCAAGAGCACTAGCATGTTAACAGGTTCTCTAGGCAATCGCGCTACGAGGGGACGAACGCGATATACTCGTCCTGGAACAATCCTCTATAAGCCAAGAAATCGGAGCATTAATCTCACTCCAACCTAATGCTTCCAAAATCGTCGAAGACCAATGGGGCCTTGCGTCACGTCTACGTGAGCAAGGCTCTATGATTGATGAAGCCTTTGAAGTTTACAATACCAAGGGCGAGCTTCAGTCGCAGATTTCCCTCTCGGCCGTTTCATCCAAGTACGGCGCCGATAGAGTGTGCTATCATCGGGCCGATCTGCACCAGGCCCTGAGGGAAAGGGCAACATCGCCTGACTACACTGGCCGGCCGGTGGAACTGCGACTTTCGAGTAGAGTCCTAGATTGTGATTGCGAGAGCGGAACCGTTAAACTTGAGAATGGTGAAACTATTCAAGGAGAACTGGTCATCGGTGCGGATGGCATCAAAAGTAAGCTTCGCAAAGCCGTGCTTGGGGAAGATGTACAGGCTCGTCCAACGGGACTATCGGCGTATCGAATGATGGTTCCGACCGAAGAGCTTCTCAAAGAAAGGGACTTTGTACAGGTCCTTGACCCTCGGATATGTCGTACCGCCATGGTCGTAGGTCAAGACCGCCGGCTCGTTATGGGCCCAGCACGAAATGGCTCTGTGTATGGTGTGGTCGCTCTCGTTCCTGATGAGCGAATGAACGAATCTTCCAAGGACACTAGCTGGACGACAAAGGGTGACCGTGATAAGATGCTGGATACATTTTCTAGTTTTCCTAAATGGGCCCAAAGGCCCCTTCTATCTGCCAAGGAGGTTGGCTTATGGCAGCTGCGCGACCTGGATCCATTGTCCACCTGGTGCCATGGCCGTGTGCTGTTAATAGGCGATGCTGCACATGCGATGCTCCCTACTCAGGGACAGGGGGCAGGTCAGGCTGTTGAAGATGCCGAAGCTCTTGGGGCATTTTACAAGGACTTTGAGACGCGTCATCCCGATAGGTCTCTGAGCGATGTGCAAAAGACCAACGAGGACATCTTTAACTGTCGGTATGAGAGAGCTACGACGATACAGATGTATAGCCGACAAGCAGCAAAGCCGGGAACGGATTCCACCGAGAAAAGGGTAACAATGAATCCAGCCGAGTTCATGGATTATAATTGTCTTTACAATGGTGCAATGGATTGGAATCGTCGACAACAGGGGCAGGGTCCAGCTGCAGCAGTATCTGCCTGATCATATCTCTAATTGTTACAAGTTAATGATCGGAATAATAATACAACTTCTATTTAAGCTCCATTTCGCAACGTACCTTGAGGAAATCCTATTTCCTTTCCCCTTGGGACTGTCTCTTCCATCCCCCTTCTTTTTCTGTTTTAGCACCGAGCATTGAACTTCGGAGAGACATTAGGTTTTTATCTTCGTTAATTGGGCCTTCTGACGTTGTCTATATTGTTTTTCAACCTGCTATCTACTACTAGAAAACTTTACCCTGACTCTAAATATACCTGCATGTGTACAAATGTTCTATTCGTGGTAAAAAAGGATGTAATAGAAAACATGAAACTACAGCTCATCAATAACAACCATTCGCAAAGTACAGAACGCTATCTTCCACCATATACCGGGTACAAAAGGGAACGAATGGTCATGTTTCTTGGATATAAATGTCACACACAGGACGCAATCATCTCTTTCTAATCTCAGATAAATGGAAGGATAACACAGCTGGGATATACTCCACCAAAGTGAACAGTGTGTTTCCCTTTATTGAGCTCATACGCCGGACGGGGCTTGGAAAAGGATGTAATATCCTTGGCAATGCTAGGATACTGGCCGCCAACCTAGGTCAAATATGTTAGTACACGAAGACCAAGAGAAACAAGACCAAAGGGGCGACATTCGACTAACCTGTAAACTAATAGACTCTCCAGCATCAAAGTCCACACCCATTGCCCAGATACCGATCTCAAGCTTCGTGACTGTTCCTGATTCTATCCGCTCCTGTTTCGAATGTGGGTGGAAGGGGAATTGCGGGTGTATACTTTTACTTGAGTCAATCGCACGATGAGAAGCACGGAGGATTCCAACGGATCCTAGGTGTAGATTCAGACTCGCTTGATCCTTGTCAGGGATTTCGTCAATCGATTTAACAGGCGTAGCGTGGAACGGGAAGTTGAGGTGTTTCAATTCTTTCCCATTCTTATCTTTCTTGCGTAGAATGACGAACACAGTAAAGTCGTCCTGCTCCTCGGCGGACACGTATAAGATTGCCTTTGGCAAGCCGATTAAGCGTGAAGGTTTCTCGAACGTATAGTCAAACTCGGCAATGCTGGTCCTGCTTTCGGAATCGTATGAGATAGTAGAATAGTCTGTGGTAGCTGTGCCCAGAAGTTGTTGGTTTCCTCCTAGGTATAAGCTCCTGTACTCCGTCGATGGAACAGGAAAATCCTCTAGAACGATGTTGTCGATGGCCTCACGATCGCCAAATTGCAAAGCAGACCAACGAACTTTAGGAGTCTTTTCCCAATCATTCTCGATGCCTTTCAGGTAGCGGTCAAAGAAGACAGTGAGTTCTTCCATTGACTCAGGCTCACTG